TACGCTTACCACGACTTCTGTTTTACCTTTGGATTCAAGGTAGCCTACCTGGACGCTGGTAAAAGTCTCGTTCGCGTTTATCGACTAAGGTAAACTCGTAATGGCCTCAAGCATACTAAGTGATGAGCGTAACAATATATATATAACAATAATAACAATATATATATAACAATATATATATATATATATTTCGACTAATTAGTTTGAATATTAATAAAAAACCTATGATCATGTTATTTTATGTGGTGTGCATTGTGAGCTGTCTTGCTCAGTAATTAGTGTACTAATTTTTACGGTTTTCAAAATAACAGTCAACCAACAATGAACATATCAGTTGAAATTTCATCAAAAATCTGATCAAATATTTATCGAGACTTAAATACCATAATCTGTTACTGATCTCCACAGATTCGTACATTGGCATAAATCTTTCAATATCAGTAATCAACTGAAATGCTGAACACAAATACAATTTTAATGAGGTATTCATATTTATTTTGTTGATGATTTAGGATACAAAATAAAAGACTAACAGTTCAGCTGTTCACCTTTACTGGTTAACTAACTTGTAGCCAACGTTACAAGTCAATGTTACAATTTGACGCAGTTTACAATGATTTGTTTCACTTATGGTGTTTAAAATAGACCTTACCATTATTAAGTACAATAGTACCATACGTCGTTTAGTCGAACCACCTTCACATGCCTATTTATATCTGTGACAATAACTAGGCTTATTATTATGCTTATTTTTCAACAATCTTCATAGAACTATGTTAAAGTGAAGGTGATCTGAAAAATGTTATTAATCTAAGCTCCTCATCTCAGATAATCTGGTGGTCATACACTTTTTAGTCAGATCAATTGAATATTCCTTTTAATTAATTCGCTTCATGTTCTATAGTTATTTATTCAAATCAATCATCCCAAAAGAAGCCAAGTTAAAGGCGAAATACATCGTTAAAAACCACGAATTGAGAATTTAGGATTGGTTGCGATATCGATTGTTGAAATGTCGAACATGAAATGTTCACTTGGCTAAGTTTTAACTTGATCTTGCCCACTAAAAAATGATGATTTGAAGCTATATAAGTTTTTCTCTTCGTTTTCACATCTTCCAAGGTCCTTCTGAACCTTTTATTGATACAGATGTGACTGATTTAGTTATGAGAAGTGGGATCCGGTGAAACCCATATGGGTTTGTGTATTCGTTTGTATGGGAATATGCTGCAACCAGTAACTATTTTGGTGAAGGTGCATAGATTTGCGAATCTTTCGCTATTTCCGTTCCTTCTTCCCAGACCATATCATCCAATGATTTATTATTTTTGGAGTTGTCTATTCTAACCTTGTCGTTTCGTACTTCATGGTCGGAGAACAACTGCATCTCTCCTGAAACCAGTTCTTTTTGTCCAGCTAGCATACGGTGGGGTTTAGTTATTCCAAGAACCAGGTTGCATCTTTCATCTTCTGGAACAACTTGAATGGTCCTTATGGTCTCCAACATTTCGCGAACATTCTGTAGCTCCTCACCAATTATTCATTGAAATAACTTTGATAATTAGTCGTTCAAATTATTCGATAATTATATCTGTCATTTTTCACATTTGCAATAATTCCATTACAATATCGATTATTGTATATTTGATTGTTTGTGGATGCTTACTCGCTTATTATATGTCTAGCCTATTATTGCCTGACTATAAATACTTAGTCACTCTTCGTTTCTTCTTAGTGACCCATCTACTCTTCTCGTAAGTAGGGAGGTTGTTCTGCCTTCATTTTTCTTCCTCATTTGTGCCGATGGAATTCCTTAAATCTCATGAGTTTCTCTACCCAGTCAGTATGATCTTTACATGGGATGAATGTATCGTCCGTGTATCGGTAGTAACGGGAAACTTTTCAGTACACCGCGGGAGAGGATCGCTTTCTAGTTTGGCAAGGAAAACGTCAGTCAATATAGGACCCAATAGTGAATTCGTTGCCAAGATTTACTCCATAGTCTTCCTTATTGTCATGTCTGTAAGCAGTGATTTCCTGTTTGAGAACACCATTGTTTATGTTGTATTGTTAATAATTTTAATTTTGTCAATGAACTGGAATACAGCCTCAATTCTATGTTTTGCTCGGTTTTAAAATGGTTACTAACCATCTTGCTACAGTAATACAAGGAAGACTGTGCATGTCGCGAATCGTCTTCAAAGGGATATCTGCTCAGTGTAACTTCGTTAGTCCATATAACTTTCATATATTTTTAATGAAATTATCTGTTGATCTCTAAGCTTTTTTAAAGACCTATTCTTGAATCTTCAAGCTATTTTACGGCCTAAGGTAGAGTGAGATCATGCTAGTCTTTCCTCTCCTTTATTTACAGTCATTGCTTTATGTCTCTTTAACATTTTGTGTTAATTGACGTACATTAGTTTTATTGTGTTTTTGTATGTCATGAGAAGTATGTGTAACCAAAATGTTTGTAATGTATTGAATAAATATTCACATTTTCCAAATCAACCCACCTCATTATGATATTAAACTTATATTAGGAAATGTTTGTTTTAAATTTTTTCTAACCATCTAAACATATTATTGGTTTATCTCCCCATGATTTTCATTCTGTCTTGAACCCCTGTGGTTGTCACCACTATTAAATCACTCTAGTTTCAGAATTTTATCTGCCTTATTATGATAACCTGCACATGGTGCTTGTAGTGGATTTTAGCTTAGTTGCAACTGTGCTTTGGATGAGATAGAGCAATATCGTGGATTTATTGGAGTTAAACATTAGCACCAGTGGATGCCGGCTTAGTGGTTTAGAGGTTAAGCGTTTGCGCCCGAGACTGAAGGTTCTGTGTTCATCTCCAGCAAAAATAGGGTGATGGATGCACACTAATGATGAGGCACACACTAGGACGGGTGACTTGGCCATCCAGTACTTCCAGGTTTGTAACAGTGATCTAGAATTTCATTGTCAAAAAGGTTATTCATTGTCTTTTTTTTGTTTGAAATGTTAATAAGATTAAATATATCGTCTTAACGTGGAGTATTATTTTTCCCAATATTTGATTTGTTTGTGATTTGGAAACACTCTTGGTGCCTTGAGATATCTGAAACATTTAATTATCTCTAACTGAAATGTGATTACTTCCTAGTATCATTGTTGCTTCCATTTATATCATATTTTAATAACTACTGTTAACATGAAGCGTTTTTATTTTAAAATCTGTATAAACTTATTCATCTGTTATTGAAGTGTACAAAATTTTCAATATAAAAAACAAGATAACATGTAATTATCAATTCAGTCTAGATCAAAATTTAATCTAACCAAATAATCCATTTTGACCTACCTTGTCAGTACAAAGTATTTTAATCGTTAACATTTTCTTTTAAAAAAAACTATACTGGTTAATTAAATTTCCTGTGTGTAAAATGGATTGAGGTCGTGTAAGAGATTGCTGAAAATCTCATTATAGTATGATTATAAGTTCTTAAGATATTCAATGATCGTTTTACTCAGCTGAAAATTATTTTTGCTCATACTAAATACACAACATATCGATATCTATATGAGATTACGTTCTGAAATTCATTTTTTTATACTCTGACCCATATTTTCTAGAGCTTGTTTATTCCCCAGATAGTATTATCTCTCTAACTAATAATTGTATTCTATATATGAATATATGCATAAGGCTACTACTTAATAACAATGTAAACAAAAAAGGTTGATCACATTTTGTAGCTTATAAATAAAATTATCGCTTTTATCTAATCGATACGTTTTCTACTCTTGACAGTCTAAGTTATGCAAGATTGATGGATCCAGTTGTAGATATTTATGAATACAATTGGAATGTTTATAGGAATAATGATTTGCAAATTAGTTAATGTGCATTTATCTAGCCTTTTAATGAATCGTGATTTATGTGGCTTTTTGACAACTTTAATCATAAACTCATATTAGTTTTATACCCAATGAATATAGCAGCCATGTATGCGAATTAACTACAAAATAGTTCTACATCACTTGATGCACAATAAGGATGTTCTCTATTATGAAACACAAATCTAATTTAGCATCGCCCTTAGTCAATAAGGAAATCTCAGGTTTAAATGACCACGTTCATTGAATTTACTTGGCCGGTATGTATGCTCACAAACAATTGTTTACCTTTACTAAACTGCTTAGTGACGCAAGAGAAACAAGGTATGAAATGTCATCAATTGATCATCTGAAATAATATACTCGTTAAAGACCTTTATTATTCTTTAAAATTCTAAGCTTCCAGAAAATTACGACCAGATTTTTCCGATGAGTGTAAACACCAGGTATAATCTACGGAAAAACTCTTTAAAAATCACAAACCATTCGTGCGAAAATTCTAACACTTTAATTCTTTGTGGAATATGTCCGGATACCATTGACTTAAAAATCACAAGATCCACACGGTCCAACACGGCAACAACGTGTTCATATTCATCATAAGTGTACGGTAACTTGACAAAGTTTTCATTTAGACCATCTTCATTTTTTAATTTTTCCAACCCAAGTTTAAATTCACTTGACTTGCTGTTTGTTTTTTAAACATTTAAAAATTTTTATTCCATACTTGCTGCATTCTTGATATCACTCACATAATAAACAATGTTATGTGAAGCAGTCATCATATTTTCTTTGATTGACATTTAACGCGGTTACGAATTGTGCTGCTTTTACTCTTACTTGACATTATTTATGTGCATTAGGCCATTTGATCTCATTTCTGTAAAACTCAACGTTTGCGTAAAGCGATATTTTGCTTAATTATATATATATATATCCCTATTAAAAAATCTAGCCAAATTAGGTGTACAGAGGTTGTTGGTGAATACTGCTAATATCATCTTTCTTATAAAATGTTATCTCAACAAACTAATTTTCGAAATTTTAATATTAACTAATTTAAAAAAATCCAATATGTAACTAATTTCACATATATTTTTTTAATTATTTGATTTAGGTAATTGTTTATCCAACAAAGAATACTGTTAAAAATACTGGTGCAAGTGTTATTATCCTTGTAAGTTGGTTATTTTCATTGATAATGGCTAGTCCGATGTTTATTTTCACATCGGTTAGTGTGGATACTATTCGACCGAATGGTCATATATGCAGTGCAAGCACAATACAAAGTGAATGGTTACGTCAAAGTAAATACATTTATGGTATTATTACAATTGTTTTTCAATATTGTCTACCATTAACATTGGTCAGTTATGCATATATACGTATTTGTTTGAGAATACGTCAACGACAGTTCAATGTAGTATTACGTAAACCTACACCAGCTATAATAACTTCTGAATTAATATCAGGCAATCAGTTGGATTTTATTGAAATTGATGAACCAGATTGTAATTTCAGTGATAATAAATTGAAACCAGACAGTCGATTAACATTAAATTTACCATCTAACAATCTCTCAGATTCTTCTCCTGCAGATAGTTGTAAAAATCGTAACTTCAATCCTATACGTTGTTATAAATTAGCTATGTCCTCCACGTCGACTTTATCGTGTGAAACTACTAATTTCCGACAAAAAACAGACAATTCACGATTCAAGCTAATTCAACGACGTCAAACACGAACAAACACACTGCTTGCATCAATTACACTCTTATTTGTACTGGCTTGGTTACCTTTGCATATTTTTAATGCTGTTATGGATCAACGTGAATCAAGAATACTTAGAGAGCCGTTCGATCTAACCACACTACCACAATCAGATATATTGAATAAAAATATTACAATGGATTCTCTATTCGATGAGACATATCAACATTTGAGCCAAAATATGAACACATTCACATTATTACCAGAGCATAATCATACAGAAACAATCATCAAAGAATATGGTATTGGTAGGAAAATTACACTGATACATTCTTTTTGTTTGTTATGTGTTCTAGTGTCAGCTTGTGCAAATCCTGTTCTGTATGGTTGGTTAAATGAAAACTTCCACAGAGAATTCATACTAATGTTTCCAATATTGTTTCGCTCGAAAAAACAAATTTCATCTGTTACAGTAGGTGTTGATCATAATTACGCCAGTGTGATACAATGAACAATCGTAATGATTATGCATATAGTTCATACAAATATTTTCAAGTCATTATATCCACTATTTTGTTGTTTTTTATTCATTAAATTACTGAATGTATACTGTATTCTTTAAAATGAGCTGTGAATAAAGTATTGTGTAATTTATTAATTTTTTTGTGTGATTAGGCATTCACTGTTCATTGATAAGATATATATATATATATATAAATTTTTTTTGAAATGATGTACAATAATTTGATGTTAATCGTTTGAAATACACAAATACACAAATATGAGCATTATGGAAAAAATTTTTGTAAAAAGCCTCTTGTAATTCATAAAGATTTTAATTTTTTTAGCAAGAGAATACAACAAAAAGTAAGTGCTATGACTGTACATTTCTTTTCACAAACATTACAAGAAAAGTACGTGTTTTGTGAAAGTGTAATGATATTTATATTTCTAGTTCGTTCGATTAAACTAAAAGTTATGTCTCCGGTTTTGAGTTGTTATTGAGTTTACCGCACACAGGTTTAGCATGGTGGTAAATCGAACGAATACTGCTACTTCTGTTAATGGAAATCCTAAAAATAACAGTCTTTTTTGGAGAATGAAATATTGGCAGTGTACATTTACCGAACAAGTAATCTAGAAAAATGTTCGAAAAGATATTTTTTAGTTGCACCTTAGCAGAATTTAGTAACATACAATTATGATTTTGATTCTTGGTGACATGCAGTAGTCGTCTATGAATTTTGAAATGGATTATCTTGATTCGAAGAAAAAGCTAACTTCTTTCAAACTACAATATTTATTATTAGTAGGAGTGGCTGAAATTGTTTAACTTTATTGAAATCACGAGCCCATCTAAGTTAGACGACTACTGAAAGTATCAGAAACCATTTGTTCCTTGTATTGTACTCATCAGCACTGCACACCCACGACTCTGAGTCCGGCAATCAAACTCAAGACGCCTCGCATGCGGACGTTTGATCACTTGATACCTTCTGAGTCATCCAGTGATGTACAAGTCTCACTTTGATTCGTCGGTAGTACCACGTGATTGCCGTTTTTTGACTTTTGTAGGTAACTGTTTCACACTTGATACGGTTTTGATCCACTGGTTACGGCTTCTCACTAATCTCCATAAATTTCTTCTCAAAACTAGTCTCTACGCAGAAGCTGATAACTGTCAATGCGAGTAATGGAGATCGTTAATTTTCACTAAATCACGAAGATGGTTGCGCAACAGTGTAGGTTTATCAAGGTTAAATCAACACATCATCGAATGCTTGCTCTTTCGTCTAAAGGTTAAGCGTCCGCATGCGAGGCCGAGAGTCCTTAGTTTGGTTCCCGGATTCAGGGTCATGGGTATGCAGTACTGATGAATACAATGCAAGGAAGAAACGGTTTCCGGTGCTTCCAGGGTTTCATTAGTTGTCTAACTTGGATTGGCTCGTGATTTCAACAAATGATTTATTTTAACACTCATTATCTAGCATACATTTATTTTAAAATTATGTCAATTTTATCCACTCAATGATATTCGTATTCGACAAACCCTAAAATTTAGTTGTGTTCAAAATTGTTACCGTATAACAAAGTGCATATAGCTAATCTACTAGTACTATAACAATAATCATTGTTCTATCTACGAAGTGGTGATTAATGTCGACTACGACTCATCAGTGATTCTGATAGCAAAAAGTCTGGTATACTTCAGGTCAAAAGGGTAGATTGTGGATCGATCAACTTTTGTAAGAGCGTTACAATTATGAAGTTAAAGATCATTTAAAATGTTGTTAATCTAAACATTTGAGAGATTGATCAACGACTGAGGCCAAACGTTTATAAGTCCATTTATTCAGCAGTAAGGCGAAAGTAGATCTAATTTTTATTTAGATCCTTTACACTATTTGGTCATTGTACTTTTATTTTAGTCAGAACTACAAGATCGATTCCATGAACGATTTCTCATTTCAGTCACTTCATTCATGTTCAGTTTTTTATCATATCTATTGAAGTGTCGTATTATTTTCAGTACTTGGTTATGTAAACAAGTAACAACTCATTGGAAATGCCCTTCGGCGTACGAAACCGAAGGCCCTGTGATTGATTTCTCAGTGCGGGATCACATATTTACGCTGGTGAGAACGAAATGACCTCTCACTGCCCTCAGGTTTCCAGTGGTGGTTTAGCTGATACCAGCTTGTAATTTAAAATGTGAAAATCGAAGCATGCAGATTTAGAAATACTGAAGAAAAATGAGGTGAATGATAGGAAATACAACAGATCTGAGTTTCATTTTAATGTGGTGATTTATTATTTATACAGGGTTTTCTAATTATTTCTTTCTAGACAAATGTATTGTCCTTTTATAGTTATCAGGCCCGAACAAATTAGAGTAAATAAGCTGTTGCAAGTAGTCTTCATTATGCATTGGCATTAGCTAAATAATCACTGACAACAAAAAGTATGAAAAAATCATTTCAATTTGAAACCGGTGAGCAACAAAGATTTATGTTAAACCTTTTTCGATTCCGGTTCATTTCTGAAACTCAGATTTGTTGATGTGTGTTCACTTTTGTGAATTTTCATTATGAGAAAAACAACTGTTTACATCATTCTACTCTTTAAATTATGCTTCTAATGATTTTATTTCAAAAGAACATTACGACGTTCAGTTATTATTTTAACCAGCTAGAAATCAATTAATATTAATAAATTTACACATATTTATTTTATCTGTGAATGAAAATGTTGACATCTTAGGAGCGGTTGTCAGCCAAAAAAAAATTATCAAGTTTCAATGAACAAATTTAGCTAAATATGATGTTATTTCATCCGCATATTAAAATATACGTAAATCTCGAAAAAAAGTTTATGATATTGTTTCTTTAAAAGGTGTATGTCGAATTCAAATAATCGAACTGAACTATCAGACATATTGACAAGCTGTTAGCATAATGATGGATCTGAATACCGATTTTACTTAGCTCTTATTTAAAATGGTCAGTGTGTGTGTGTGTGTGGATAATTATAGTTATTTATTCTTTGTCATATTCCTCCTGACAAGATGAAAAGTTCCACTTTACACTGAGAACCACTAATTATTATTATTACATGAAATAATTATTCAGTAGACTATTAAATAGTCTGTGAACTTTTTACTAAATTCATATTGTAAAACAAATTGATCACCACCATTGCTATTAGTTAACGTTTATTTGAAATTATATAAACTTGTCTGATATATGCTGGTAGGTAATACAGTGCATCAGTCGATAGATTTTCGGCATGAATCACGACCCATCAATAATATTCTTGTACAAAAACCAATGGCAGAATAGCGGACCTTTTTTTCCACTATCAATCTCATCTGGAAACAGGTAAGATATTCATAGATCTGTTTTAAATGACTGTCAAAGCATTTGAAATTAAAAATACAAGGACATCACATTAGCTGTTTTCTGTATAATTAGAATACTCTGTAGTAAAATTAACTCATCAGTCTTACATACACTCTCAAAACTACAATCTGACATAATCATGCTTATTCATTTCAGTTGTATAGAATGAGTAATTCGATTTAGTATATTTATATATTTATTAGAAAAGAAAGAGATAGTAATAATTTTTCATTCACAGTCACAATGCAAAAGGTTGGTATAGTTAATATCTTTTCTAAATGTTATTCAAAGTATGAATTGTTTCATCGTGTTTATTCAATGAAACGATATAACTTTGTGATGTATTGGCTTAACTTTGATCGTATCAATGAACCACCAAAATATCTCCATGAAATTATTTCTTTTAGGCTGTTGAAAATTTCATCCGTTGGTTGAATCTGAAAATAAATGTAGAGAAATAAAATAAAATGAATTTGAAAAAGTAGAATGAAGAGAGAAAAGATCGACACTGTGTAGGAAATAGTAGTGACCCAAGAACTAAATTCACAGATCTTACCGACTTTTCAAACTTTAATCAATTGTTTAAAAATACTTCCTCAATAAGCCTGCATTGGTACATACGCAAAGTTTTAGGTGCAAGAAACAATTCCTACTTACAGAAGTTTTAAAGTGAAGGTGAAACACATTAAAAATAATGAGGTGGATCATTGAGCAGCATTAGTTATCCATGAATGTTATCTATAAAGCAATACACTTACAGCTAGTAGCAGTAACTCTCTCATTATAAATATATTGGTCATGTATATCTTATTAGTTACAATAAAATATGGTTATACATAATTTATGTAGTAAGAATATAACTACAGTGTGACGTTTTAGTCAAACCTTATCGTTCACGATATTTTAAATTAGACATTACGTAAATAATTATGATTTGAAAACTTAACTAATCTTACCGAAGATAAAACCTATATATCACATCGTAAAATTTAGAAACACGTTACCAAAAAGCCTGTTATAAAAAAATCTGTTACATTGTCACATATGACGATTAGAAACTTAAAACCTTTAAGTGGATTCTATCCGACTGTACAAAATAGATTAAGGGGAAATATATCTAAGAAAACATTACATTAAGTGAAAGATGTTATGTGGAATTACTTAGACGGAAAGAGATGCCTATGGTAGATGAGTTAAAGGATTGGTAAACTCACTGAATTGTGGGCACATTTCTATTCACAAAATTTGGTATTTACAGTAAGAAAAATCACTAACCACATTTTTCCAGTGAATAAATGCCACGGAAATAAATACTACGATTTAAACTAAATAAGATAATTGACATCAATTTTAGCGTTTAAAATAAACGAAACCCTTTTTCTCACTTACTGGTTGTATGGTCAAATTAGGAACCGCAAATGCAAATTCTATTGATTTGCCATTTTCCTGATCAGCGTTGTGCAAAATTTTCCCAGCTCGAAGAATTTTATCAAACTTGTCTAACCATGAACTGAATTCATTCTACAGATAAATATTGTAAATCACAAACCGTTTTGGTTAAGTAAACAATGAAAAAAGTCTGACTGACAATTGATAATGCTATGTAACAAGATACGTCCACATGTTTAAAAATATCATGTTAATTCGATAAACTTCTTCATGTCATAAATGGATGTGTAGAGATCATGATGTCTAGGATAATCCTTTCAAACTAGGTGAAGTTTATCGCAACTAATGGTTTACTCATTATTAAATCTTTTAATTCATGTGAAACTTGAAACTTAATATAAAATCGATATCATCCTATGTGTTTACTGGTGTATGCGTGAAAACAAAAGTTATCATTTGAATAGTGCTAAAAAAGATCAGTTCAGTAAATCCTCTCGAATTCCAAATAATAATAACAACAATATTGATAGTAGTAATAATATAGACATCAAATATTTATTATTTAACAAAGAAAAGTTACTGAACGTTTTAAATCTGATTGAGGTGAGTAGATTTGTATTCAGAAAATGCTGTCTTATTTAGACACTGATTTCATCAGTTTATATTTCTCTATCTAAAATCATTGACCATTAGAATTGCTGCGTCAAACTTTTGTTGTAAAACTGTCTTAACAAAGAGGAGAACAAGAATTTAATCTTAATAGAACACGTTTGGAAACTTCTTGAATTATTCAGTAAAATCAACTGCTTACATGTCTCATATTTATATTAAGTGGCTTAAATAAAATGCTTCGGTATTTAACAACTAATTGCAGTTAGTAAAACTCTAAACAGTTTCGATTATTCATGTCTTACTCACATATCTTATCGAAAGTGCACATTGTGTAATGTTGAATTATATAGCAGTTAAAAATAAATGACTATATGTTGATGACTAAAAAACAATGTTGATTACCTCTGACGATTCGAATAATGTTTAGAAAAATCTAATAAAATGAATTATCAAACATGAAACGATCTAGTTCTGACTAGCTTTTGATAAATTTTCAATTACTTCGATCACTCGGCTGGAATCAGTGGTCGAATTCCTATTCTGTAAACTTAAAATACTGAAAATAATCACATACATGTTGGGAACTAGGGTCTTTATCACTATCACTAACTTTCTATTGCCATATGTTTCTTAGAAAGAAACTAAAGTCAGTCACGATTTAGTAGGCCAGCCGTGAAATAGGATACTTCTTAGAAAACGTCTATGCACGTATTATGAATAACACTGTGAAAGGTTAGACAATCTAAGTTACTTCGGTTGCTCTTTTGTCCATAATATTCTTTTTTTAAATTAATTTTATCACAAATTCTTATTTGACAAGTATACTCATAATACGTACAGTCTAGGAAAAAAAATTGAATAGAAAGTAGCTTTTGAAGTAAAGATTTTCAGAACTAAGTCTAATGGTAAGAGGGTATCCCAAATTTAAACTCACCTGAAATTCCAGATCGGATTGATTCATATTCTCAGAATCTAACGATTTCTCATTTGTTTTAACAGATGGAGATTTTGATGCTGTACTTTTGATATATAAATTTGTCTTTTCTCTTTCTGACAGACTACTGGTTGCACCGTATTTTATCACCATTTTGTTGAACTGCTCTATAGTATTGAAAAACTCATCACCGTTATCGAATAAAACCAAGCGTTGTTGATAGAGCTGTCCTTCACTATAATGGACAAAAGTGTTAAACGGAACATCTGCATCCAAGTATCTAAACAATTCAAATGGATACTTCTAATTGTAGAATGATCTAGAAAAACTATAATTAGCAAATATAATCGAATTCATAAAAAATGTTCAATATCATATATTTTGTTGTTTCCTTGATTATATTTCAAATTTATCTTTATTGCTGTTTTACGGCTGTTAGTTTTTTTAAATATGCGCAAAAATGACAATTAAGTACTCTTTATACAAATAGTATGATATAATATACACAAAATTACTTACAATTTTGCTTTTGGTGAATAGCAACCTATAAGGATTGATAAGCATTTATGAAAGCTATTATCACTTTCAAAATTATTCGTTGTTTGTATTAATAAATACTTCGAGGACTTATTTAATCCGCGTCTAGGTTCACTTTTTAATTTAACAAATGATTTTAATTCAAAATTCAAATTGTATGGCAAGATGTATGGACGGATAGCATTTTCATTTTCTGGAGTTTGTTCATTAAACCAATCAAATGCATTGTTAATAACGTTAGATAAATTGTCAAACGCTTCAGTTTCAGTAGATGCATTTAGTTCAGATAAGTGAACCTGAAGTGATGTAAATCGTTGGAACCAGTATTCTGCATCTTGTGAATAGTAGGGAACTGGAGAGACTGGGATTAATAAATTCTGCATCAACAATTTGTTAATGCAATCTTCATTCTGACTATCTACAAATTGTTTCCAATAAAATAAGTAATAACATATTTGGTAATGCTTTTAATAATAATTTGTTGATCATATTTCTAATTTTTCAAATGAATTTTTTTTGGAATTCAGATGCATGTAATATTATCAGAATTCCTAATAACAAACAGAGATTATATAAATCACTCATAAATCAACATTTTAATAAGCTATTGTTAACTTTGTAGCATCAAACTAAGTCATTATTTAGTTAAACACTGGAAAGCATTGTCATGTATAAATTTGGAATAAACTGATATTTTTGGTTTACCATTGTTATATTTATGCGAACTAGATAGAAAAGTAAACAGCTAATGAAAATATTTATGAACATTTACTGAAGCACCCGTCATTAAATCACATGATTGTTTCGACACTTCTCATCTTCGCTTGCAAAAAATTAGACATGGGTATGAAGAAGAATACAGTTCTCTTAACATAAATTAATGGTAAATCCTATTTAGTAGTCTCAGATCTGTAATCATATAGGTGTGAAGTATTCCACTGATCTCAGAAGCTTCCTATCTGATCTAAGTATATTATTTTATGCATTTTCAGATTACATTGACCACCAAAAATCACCTGTGTAGGTAAATTTATGTCATGGATCTAACATGAGTTAATGGTAAATTCTAATTTAATAATCTGCATTCATGACGACAAATTGATTATCAGTGATTGATTTGCTGATTTGTATCAATTTCGGAAATCAATAATATCACAGGTTTTATTTCAAAATATCCGTTTAGCCTCCAGTGTTACTTAACTGCTAAAGTGAATTTTTTTTTATTTGAAAAAGATTTGATAAGAAATTAGTGATCAGTGGGATGAGGTAAAAATAATTAGTGTATAGAATAATTATTTGAACAAAATGTCAGCTAATTAAAGATAATTATCAAGGTGACTAGGTGCTAGTTGAAAGTCGAATTGAATAAAATAATAATCAAATTGGTCTATTAGCCAGATATCTGAAAATAACCAAAGATAAAAACTACAATATATATATATATATATATATATATATATATTAGAAAGATATTGATTTGACCCGAAATAGCCGATAAACTTGACTATGTTCACTTTAATTATAATAAATGATAGTTGACTGATATATAATCGATACGGTAAGTTATAGTCAAAGATTATTATTATTATTATTATTAACATTCTCCTGAATCGATGCATAATGATTTACCTTGACAATTGCTGAGACAAGAACCATTGATATTCTTTTCATTTTGTTGAAACAACTGTTTAACATTTAACACATTTTCATATAAAATTGATTCATACAATTTAAGCGTATCCATACTTAGTTGAATTTTTTCGAGCTTCTTCCATTCCAGCTTTTGATTACTTGGTAGTTGATTGTCATCAGAAACCATTGAAGTTGGATTAAACAAAAAATTCCAACATTCACTGACAACAGCCTGATTTTTCACATAATCGAATAATTCATCGAAATGATTTGACTTTTGTATTACATTTATCAATTCATATTCAGCATCACCTGAAGAAAGGTACAGTAACCGACATTTTATGGTATCTGTAAGCCATAGATTTATAAACATGAATTAATCTTAGTTAGAACAAGATTTGAAACCTCGAAGCACTAATCAACGACTTCTTCCTAGTACTGGGACCACTCAGCAGTGCACAGCTACAACCCTGCAGCCCGGAATCAAACTCGGGACCCTCGATTACCTGCATAAAAGCCTGAGCACTAGGGCTCTGAGCCGTCATTCAACAGTGTCAGTGTTTAACTTCAATGAATTCATGATACTGAGAGACTGTTTTGTATTGCTGATGGTGGATAACTGTTTCACACCTGACAATGATGGTTTAACTAAGATCAGCTTGTGATTTAAGATCTATGAATATTCTGTATTCTTAACAAAACCCTGTACTGGTGAAATTCTCTTCTCTGAAGGCAGAAAGAACGAACATGAAATTAGTCACACTTGAATTTTTATTGCACGTACTAACGATTCCTCCCTAAATATATCGATCTTTCCTTGAAAATATCAGGATATTATGTCTGAAGAATAAAAATATTTCACCGTCAGACGATAGAACAGTTATTACAAAGATCCATCATACAAATAATCAAATATACTAAAACAAAATATTTGGCGAATTAAATACTGATTTAAAAAAAACTTCTAACCATAAACAATCATGAATTTTCTCAATGTTTTAAAGTACACAAAATGTAAATCACCGCACAGAATAACTACGCATGATTATTAGGAAAGGTTGACCAAAACTCAAACTGACTATTGATGCTATTGAAAATCAAAAATTTTTTTTCACACTGATCAGTAAACATGTGTCAACATATGACAACCTGTTACACAATGGTTGAGTAAATTTGAAAAAAATTGAAATATTGGCATCCTATTTCGTTTTTCAATGATATTTTACACTTTACGCAATAATTATTCAGTACAGTAACGTTCATTCTGTTATTGTAATTTAATACAAATTATTAAGTTTTCGAAAAGTGTTTGTTCTGTACTAATGTTTATGAAATACAAAAATCTTATGTCTTTCAAATCAAAATATTACTTGGAATTATGTAATCAGTGACAAAACAACAGAAAAATGAAACCATTTTATGGCAAACCCTGCATAGAAAATGTTTATATGTAACCATCTACCCTTTTTGACAGTTAATAATAATAATAATAATAATAATAATAATATCTTCATTGTTTACGTGTAATATTTTGTGAATAGTTTCGTTTTGGATTTTGTCAAAATTCAAATCAATTACACTCTTGATTTGTATGTTTTTTCTATTATTTTGGACAATGAAAATCAGCTTTTTTTAAATTTATTTAATCCACTCACCTCATTTCATTGACATTTATCACGTCAACATACATTCAACATGCACTTACAACTACTTAAGGCCATTATGCATCAAAGCGGTTACAGTTAACCGGTCCATGTTTGATAGAATAAAACATAAAATTATTCGAAACGCATGAGATGCTGCTCAACTAGTTACCTAGTCTCTATCTAAATTCAGTCGATGATTTTAAAAATAAATCTAGTAGCGCTTCATCAATTGAAGATTGAAAGCAATAGAGCACGATTGTGTTTGAACTTCTGTAGACAAACAAAGCATGTTTTAGCCGTATTGTTTAGTACCACATGTTGACTTTCATTATTTAAGAATTGTTTGTCTTACTATATAACGATAAATAATTTAGGAATCATTTACTCACTTGGTGAAATAACTCTAACGCAATCCAGACACTTTTTGCCTACTAAGTCAAACTGATGCATAACTGACCAATCACATTCGATGACTTTATTACTTGTTAATTGTGGACGTTTAGGTGATTCGCTTTTGCGTAACTTGAACATCATTGACTTTCTTTTATTGTTAAGCTCAGTTGGATGAAGAAAATCAGTTGTTGATTTTGAATACTGTCTACGTTGGGATAAGAATTGATCAAGCATGAGCAAAATATTCCAGATACATAAATTAGCAGATTGGGAAAATTTACCATTGGAGTCATTGGTTCTTGGTATTTCATTTGGCAATATCATCTCCGATTGTTTTCTCCTTAAAGAAATTCTTGATTTCTACATTAGGACGTATTAGAAATATAATATGAGGAGCAAGTGAGTATAATGTAGCACAAGTAATTAGAATATTTTATCCAGTGAATTTTTTACCTATCCTATTATACCTTTTGTGATGTAATCAGGTAGTAAGATGATTTAACAATTATTTCACAAACTCAGTGGCGCAGTATATGCTAAACTGGTTAAGCACAACTATTAGAGTCATAAGTTAGGCGGTTTAAAGGGTTCAAGACAGTTGTTAAACTGTAATGTTTTAACGTATCTTGTACGGGCGATTAAGATATTTGAAAAAAGCATTATGTAGTATATTAAGTTCCTAATACTTTCAGTTTATTATGACACACGAAGTACTTTGTGTACCAATCTTAAAAGAGACCAAGAACATCAATGTGTTTTAGAGATTTTAGGAGAAAAAAGTTAGTTCTTAATAATACCATATTAATCGCATCGATATAATCACTTACAAAGTTAAGCTCAATATAAAACTGCATTTCAATGTGAAATAATACACTTTGAAGCAAGGTTGATCAGAAGAAGCCGTGAGTTTTTTTAAATACCATTATCAAAAGTTACTTCTGATCATTCTTCTAAGACATTATTAATTGTTCTAAGGAACCGAATGAATTACACTGTTCCGTAAACATATGACTTGACTGGCTGTGAGTATAATCATTGTCTAATCTTATGCAAGCGAAAAAGTAACATCAACAACATTTATCGGTTAGATACAATTTTTCATTCAATGCATAGCTAGGACTTTCTTCTTAGATGAAATTTTAATGAACAATCTTTACATTAAAGTGAATAGGATAAGTAAAGCTTGATTACATGGATAATTCAAATCATAGCGCTTACATTATCCATCAGGTTTGGTACATTTTCAATAACTGAATGTGAACATTTCTGTTGAACACATACCAGTTGCCAAAAATAAGCTAACATTAACTCTGTTTTATGTTGAAATCTATTCAAAAAACAAAGAAATGAAAAATAAGATACACATATTTTCTAACACATACGTTAAGAAATTTAACCGATTGCTTTTGTTTTTTTTCCTTTTCTTAAATAAACAAATTTATTAGAGCAAACGCACAGTTGAATTAACCGAAAGTTTCAATATAAACTAAAAAGTTTAAAACCATTGAAACAAATGAACAGTGACCTATTGTAAATAACACAAAAACATGCAACAATCCCATATGACAGTAAAAAAAAACACGAAAAACGTAATGGGTTACTGAGATTATTTTTTTCTTCAGGCTTGCTTTAGCGAAATAATTAGTGAATTTGTTGAATTGTTGAATTTTAGTTGACAAATAACTAGTGAAATAATAACTTTAATAAAATAATCCATTATACGATCCTATTCTAAAGTTTACAATGATTCAAATACATTACCACAATAATTATTATCATTGCATTAAAAACTACCAGGAAAAAAAACCATTAGACCTGCAAAGGAAATGATTATTCTCACAAACTATTCAAAATTAAAATCAAGAAACCAAATGTAATTGTTGCCATCTAAAACTACTAAAACTCCAACTGCTAACGCCAGAAAAAGATCAGTAGTACAATCTGATATTTGGTCTTCATCATCCAATATTTCTTATTAAGGTCAACATGGCAACGCAGTCCAGGAAATATGTTGTATGTTGAATGTCATTCCATTCTTATTTGCTAATCCATATTTTTAGGCCTAATGCCAGTACTTAAGACGATATTTATCTCGGAAATTTTTGTACCATCTAACATAGGATGTAATATTGAGACAATGTTCAGTGCTACAAAAGGTTTTACTCTAGTATGCATGAATACTGATATGAAAATGTTAAACCAATCAAGGCAATCTCAGTCAATAATCACAATAAAATGAAATAGATTACGTCACTATACATAATAGACAGAAGTACAAGTTGATAGTAGGAAGACAGGAAGTACCGATTGTAGTAAGAAAAATAAAATACGATAACAAAAGTTTTATCAGTAGTGGGTCGAACGTGGATAAATAGACTGAAAAAAATCATTGATTGGTTTAACATTTTCATATAAATATTCATGTATATTAGAGTAAAGCCTGATGACGATCTAATCGAAAACAGTATAGTTCGCTTAGACGTGTTGTTCTGATCTTTGTTTACACAACAAATAAACTTCGAGTAGGTAATTTCCCTTGAAGCATTTTAATCAATCAGCTATACACAAACAGAACTCAAACTATTACTGTTAACTACTTTGTTTGTTTTTTTTATCGCTAACCGGTTTCAAACTCATTTTACTAGATTTTTGTTTGAGTTATTGTTTTTTCCACCTTTCTAATTAAGTATTTATCAAAAGGCCGATCAACATGAGCGACAGCTTTGTTGTTGTGACCTGTTTCATTGGGTTATTCTAAAAAAATCTATTATTGTGAAGTTACTACAAACCTGTGAGTACGTTTCAGAAAGCTGATAAAGCTGAAACAAACAATAAATAAATATTAATATTTCGAGGATAAAGATATATATATGTATTATCGCAATTGAAATCTCAATTTATTGTGTCAATCAACAAGTAATCAGTGAACTTATTCGAACACAAATAAGACTGACAAAGTATGATATTTTATTATGTTGAAATTTACTTATAACACAGTTCATTCCCATATATATTTTCGCAATCTAAACAACACTATCAATTCTCATTAAATAATTTCGTGATAAATAAAAAAAACAAACTCATTTTATAGTTTGACCTACAATTTATCACCTGTAACATATGCAGAAATACAAATTGAACGTAGCCAACTCTGAGAAGGTAATTGCCAATCAATTTTATTTTCGAGGAACAATCGCATTTCTAAGAGACCTGAAAAAAAAATATATGTATCAAAATGAAATTATCAGTACTTTTGATAAAAAAAACAATCTGAAATAACTGAAAAATATGTTTCAGACCCAACTGTAGTGAATTTGGAATCAATGATGTAACCAAACTCTAACGAATAAGTGTGAGAGATTAGTAGCTCAGATGAGTTGTTTTGGAGAAATTTAGTTCGCGAAAAATCAGTGTGAATTATTTTCATTCATGAAATTGTTTAGTGAACAAGTGAAAACCTATCACTAATACCATCCAGCATCGAAAACGTGAGTCTACTAAAATGAACAAAAGAATATCATGTTCAAACAGTTGAATTGTCTCAGTATGTAATCTGTAATGCAACAATGTTCAATAAAACAGAGAACCTCTATTATTTGTAAATGTCTTCAGATAATTTTAAGTCTAGAAATACGTTACACTATCTTGTAACATAAAATATATACAAAAGAATTAGATGAAACTATGCGAAAGTAATTATAAAATAATCATTTAGATTTCTTGCACCTGAAGTTATACTGTGATTTATTTATCAATCTCAACCATTAGAGTGATAACACCTGCCATATAGTTAGCATGTGTTAAGGAATAGCTAGTTTTGTCTAATTATTAACAAACTACTTTTTATCGCACTGAACTTTACATGCATGAATAATTCATTAAAAGAATTTAGCAAATACGAGCTCAGTATTTGTTTACATTTTCTAAGAAGCACTTAAACATATGATGAGGTTATTTGGTTTAAAAACTGGATTACGGTAAACTTTCATTTTTCAGGAATTCAGTCGAATGGTCTTGTATCCATCTACAAATCTAGTAGACTTTCAGAAATAGAAGTAGATTTTTGGGATGATAAAGTGATTAGGAATGAATATGTCTAAAATTTATGGGTAATGATTCTCATGTTTTATTGCTAACAGTTAGTAATCTTGATGCAAGCGTTAAAATATTTTGCTTCAATTTCATGAGATAGGTGAAGTTATTCTTTATAGTTGATGTTAATTTTTATCGATAGATAGCCAATGACAATGTAATTTGTTGCCATACAAACAGTGAACCTTCGAAAATGACCAAATATTGTATCTAACTATGATGATGTAGAAAGATAATTAAATTGTTTAAAATACTTTTCTGATGAACAAACGTGACAGCAAGCAAGAAGTGTTTTAATGTAGTTACCTCTTAATAAAAAGTACGACAGCTCCTAAAATATTTTAGTGCTTTCAGTTTATCCTGAAGCAAACCTATACCTAATTCTACAGTGTAGTTGAAAAGTATTATCTTGTAATACACGCCCAATAAGAATGTATTAGCCTCTGACATTAAAATCTCCACAATAAAACGAAAAGTAGGAAATTAGTTAGTGATCATTGAATAATCAAACTAGAGTCATTTGTGATTTGTATTTCTCGAAATAATTATTTTGTTTTTACAATGAAGTGATTAAATAATTTCAACTATCAAATAGTTTCAGGTATTTTTGTTATATTCCTTTCAGAAGATAACTCAGTTAATCAAGTCAGCCAATGCCTTTGCTTAAATTGATGTTATTAAACAATTCAAAACTCTCAAGTGCCTGTAAATAGATTGAGTAATTAGCAAATTAAAAAAATATTATTCATAATGTTATTTGTTTTACATGTATGCATTAATATATATTATTTAACAAAAATAATAAACTTAAAGTATTTCTATCAAACGTGTCCTTGAAGTGTTCTTTTTTATCAAAAGCTTAACAACATTGTATTAATTGTAAACCTTTTTTGTTATTGAAGCATGAAGGTTATGATAAATATTGATTTTCTGAAGTAGAGATTTTGATTTTTATAGTTAAAAATAGTCCTAATTATATGAATTTTCTACAATATTAAAAGAAAAACCGTCACAGGCATTTTGGGTGCTAAAGAGTGACGAGCAAGAAAGATTGAAACGAAGTTATTGAATATTCTGTAATCTTTAATGAAACTAAACACTTTTAATACTTGAATAATAATCTGATAATAACTTGTTTTGATAAAATACTACAATCAGTGTTCAATTGAGAGGATTATGGAGAACATAAATGTCGATACAGATTAATATTATCTGAGAAACCTTTGAAAAAAAGCAGTGCATACTGATCGATTCTTGTAGGAGATCCTCACATTTTACCTAGAAATGATCATCAACTTAACAAAACGCTAATTGGATTCGATGACATCACATTATATCATGAACTGATGACTTGAGGATCGCGTACTTTGGAATAAAAAATCAAGTCTAAATTAAGCGTGCATCTCGAGAGATTTGAAGATTACAAATTCGGTTATCAAAGGTGTCAAGGAAACTTTTTTTTGAGGAGTCTGATATTTAAAGAGAATGGCTGTCAATACCTCACAGTCTTCAACAACTCCTCATCTGATCTCATTCTGTAACAAAATGGTGCTTCATTCAAAATGAAACTTGATAAAAACACTCCATCATTAAGATATCAGTTCATGCCAAACAAAGTTTAATTGATTTATTTAATTAGTTCGTTTTCACTGTATTCATTTTCATAAAAACAGAAAAATAATGATTATAGAATCCAATAATGAGTTACAAGGCATCACATCCATTCGTATCAGCAGGTAGAATTTGTTAATATTAATAAGCACAACGGTTTTATCTGACAGGTAACCTTCCATTAGTCTAACACTTAGAATTAATGGAACAATATAAGGAATGAAAGAAACATGTTGAAAATAATATTCAAACCACCTGGTTTTCTAATGAAAAAGTTAAATTTCAAGAATTACCTTTAACAAACAGTAGTTCACATTCCAAACATGGATAATTCGGTGGAAGTTGGTTTAATATATTTAGTGAAAATTTCAGAGCACTTAATGCTTCTTCATAAATTTCACCAGCGCTCAAAGCTGACAGGGCTAATATTCTAAAATAAATATATATTACAGAATTATTGATGAATGAATATAGGAGTTTTTCTTATCATAAAATCATTCATCTAAACATAGCGAAAAATCAAATGTAAAGCATGTGAAATATATATATATATATATATATATATATATATATATATATATTTGAAACAATAGAATTTCCCGTCAGTTTAGTTATTTGAATAGTTTTATATCGAGATATGAACAATTTTCAAGTGAAATTATTCAAACAGATATAGGTTGGAACATTTTAAACGTTATACTCAAGTTCTATTATTATTATTATTTTTTGGACATATTTCAGTCAAGAATGATAGATTATGTTAGGAAAAAGTAGTGTCGAATTCACAAACTAACTCTGGTCACATGTAATAATCAATGCAAGAACGTTTTACGAAAGAGGATGTACTGAACCCCTTTCCAATACGTTTACCCCCTGTTTTCTTTTCATTCAAACAATGATGTGAAGTCGTCGAAAATTCAAATGTAAAATTTCTTACTATATACATGAAGTTATTCACTGAATTTGACTTTACTGTAAACCTGGATTTAAGTATTTTCTAAATATCTTTCATGTAATCCATTCTCTCAAAGTAGTTGATCGATGAGCAGGTAAACAAACGGGTTTTAAAACACTATCTAAATGTTTGATGAAAATATCAACTTTAGTACCTACAGATTCAGTAATTGTGTCATGATCCTCTGCTTCTACATATATATATATATATATATATATATATATATATATATCAATGTTAATTCATACTGACGAAAAATCGACCTGTGGAGCCACGTAAGTATTTAATGGGTGGGAAGGAGATGCTAGCCATCTTGCGCATATATCTGATAATTATATATATATATATATATATATATATATATATATATATATATCAATGTTAATTCATACTTTAAATTAAAGTTACTTTATCAAGTAGATAGATGACAGTTTGCTTTAAAATAAAACCTGCTCAATATAAGTACAGCATAATTTATAGCTTCTGCTCCTAAACTTCCTCTCAATTCTAAAATGTTGGTTGTATTTCATTATTTATGAAACATTTAGAAAAAAACCCTCAAATATTCTAGTCAAAGGTTGAAAATAATATATGCTTTACAGGACAAGTTTGCATAAAGGATAACCTAAATATTTCAAAATTAAGAGCAAAAAAAGTGATAAATGATCGAGTTTAGTGAAGCATGTGGTGTGAATACAAAAATACAAGTCAAACAAAAAAAGGAAGTCAAACACATTTTAACCTTGACCTAATCCAATATGTTTGACTATCATCAACACTCTCTTACACTAGTTTAGGAAACCGATAATAATATTTAAAAATATTGTTCTTCTTTCTATTTCGTACAAATCACTATTCATTTGTTGGTTGCCAGATTTAAGTGAGTTTATGCTTTAATTTGTTATTTGTCAAAAGAATTTCAAGTGTCATTCTGCCAACAATATTATGGTGTGTAAATCATTTTGGTAAAAATAACTAACTTTACTACAAATCAAATTGACTTATATGCTTGATCAAGGACAACGAGTGCATGTGCAACCAAGCAGTTTATCGCGGTGAACAAGTCAGTTCTCAAAGAAATATTCAACTATACCATAGGATTACGAAAAATCGACCTGTGAAGCCACGTAAGTATTTAATGGGTGGGAAGGAGATGCTAGCCATCTTGCGCATATATCTGATAATTATTTGCAAATAATCCATAAAATGATGAAACAGAGGAAGGTAAATTACGTTCAGTGAGGCACGTTTGGCCTGAGAATTCACTTAGAAATTAGCTTAACGGTGATCAGATGTGAGATTTGTTGAGGTCATTCTAGATAAAAATGAATTGTTAAGTTTATACAGAAGTTACAGATTTCAAACCAAATTTGATGTGATATCTTAACGGTTTAGGGTATCTAACTATGCTCATTTCCTGATATTAGGTGCCCAAATGATCACAATTGTAATTGCTAGATATCACCCCTCAAAAATAGTATTCTAAGACTTTTTGAAAATTTAAAAGCATTTCGAATGGCATTATTTACGAAGTGATTGATTCTAGTAATGACACCAGGAAAGATAATCATGGTTCCCTGGTTCACGCAATAAACCTACAATCTGAAAATAGATTGGATGAACGCTTTAAACAAGCAACATCGAGTGAAGTATGGTAGTCATTGAAAGAGGTTACGTACTACAAGTAAAATGATCCCCTTATTTGATCAGTCAGTATTTACGAGTAGACGTTTATCAATCAATCAGGTTGAAATCGAAATATAAACTCACAGAGGTAGCTAGTATATTTCATAACAAGTAATATTTTCTGTTGCCACAATACACTAGTGAGATAATGTTCACAGATACATAAATACAATTGATCAGGCGAAATTATAAACGCCAATTTAAAAAACGTAAATAATGAATATCAATAGCATAAAATAACAGAGTTACAAATGAAATACTTGATTCTTCTTTCTAGTTTACTAAGTTCACCTACCTGAAAACAGGATAAACAATTGTTTTTACCTAATAATTTAAAAACAAACTCTACTATGCTTGGAAGCGGCTTAACAAATTTTACTGACTAAATAAGTATTTCACACTGTGATATAGATTAGACTTAATGAATCAGTTAGATGGAACGTCGATATCAGGAAGAACTAACTTGAGTCGTAATAATTATCTATTTTATTCTCGTTTCAAATTGTTTTATTTATCCAGCTAAGTATTAGTTGGATAAATGAAATATGTTGGTTAGGGAAATTTTTCTTGTTTCCGAATATTTAAAATGCACAAGTTCCTATGATTTGTTTTAGACTCAATCACTACTATATAAGACTTTTTCTTTAGAACATGCCCAACAGTCACCTAAAATGTCTGCAAACACAAACTATTGTGATTATATGAAAGTTACAATCCATGAGAAAACTGACCTGATACAGTTAGGATGATTCTCTCTCATGTATTTAGCCTGTGCATTTACAGAATGTGTGCATTTGATATCTCCGAGTGACAAGAGAATAAGTGAAACTCTTAATCCAATTTGAATTAAATTTTTCCAGTTTTTATGAATTGGCAGTCTGATTTCAGCTACTGTATCATGAAATAATGAGGCGTTTTCGATACTCTCACCACAATCATTGAGCTACAACAAGATAAACCGTATTCATTATAAATAAATATGGTAGAATAGAAATGAATTATGTGTACATCTAAGTCAGTGTAATAAACTTGTTCAAGGTTATCAGATTCACAATCGCTGTTATGAACACCACCTCCTTTTCTGTGCATATAAAGTCATATCACCGGAATAAGAAATCAAACTATGGATAAAGTCTTAAGTGAATCATTTTAAATTCATTGTATTGTCGGTTTAAATCTTTTCTAACTGACACGTTTTTACAGTAAGAGTATTATCCAGAACAGAATGAAACCTACGCTCCAGATTTTCATCGTTCAGTTCTTGTTGCCTAAATTCAAAATTAAAATGGTGATTCTCACTGTATAATATCAATGATGAATCGATATAAACCATTCTAAAGTGAATAACATACAAACCACAATGATAATAATAATAATACAATATCCACCTGATCAAACTAATCCTGATATTCAATATGTGGAAGTAATATATTACTCAAGTTCTTTGTTATCAGAAATTATGAGAACAAAACTAAATAAAGACGAATATAATGAAACCCTAAAAACTATAGATAACATTACTTAGTGTGCATAAACAAAATTATGTAGTGTATTGAGATAACAAAGGTCTCCAGAAAGCGTTATTAAGAAATAGTATGAAAAAGGTTCAACTAGTCAAATAACAATTGCAAGTAACTTAATACATTGACTTCTTGTGAGTTAAACATTCTTAATCTTGATGCAAAGAAATTGATATTAGAAATATATCCTACTGCTTGCCAATACACTCACTTTTGTAGTTTTACACCTATCTGCTACAAAAGAAATTTGGTTAGATGTCTCACGAGCAGAGCAGAAATGATCTGTTCAGTGGACACTTTAAGTCAGGAGCTGGAATTTATCAACAGCCCACTGACCGAGATCGGCTACCCCAGCTCATTTATAAGGAAGTATATGTTTGATGTAAAAAAGAAGTCAGTAACTTCGATCACTCAAAAGAAGTCCTTCAATTCAACAGAGATGTGGCCTGCGATACTCTGCAGGACAGATGAACGAAAGTAATTAGTTGGACATTCAACCTTGCCAAACTTTCGTTGACCTTCTCAAGTCGACCAGCGATGTCTACCCAAATGAACGATAATTTGCCTGAGTTGGCCTACTCTATGTGCATTTAAAAATTCAGCTGCTCCTGTGTATATAGTTATATCAGGCGTACTACCAGGGAACCTAACCAACAAATCAGCGAAAATCTCCCAGCAAGGTTTATGAAAGGTTAGTTAAAAATAATACGCAGTTCTATCTTAGCACTTCTGGTTGATAGCGGTCAAATTGTAGATAAGTTTAGATCTTTTCGGGTGTTCTATCGTATACCTCCATCACTGCCCAAAAGAGTTAGTTCCATCCCGTCTCCTACACATAGCAGAAGCCATAGGGATTCATACATTCAACCCCAATGTGTGTGTTCAGGAGAAATTCGTGACCGGATATAACTTAACTAATGTTTAAAATTTAATTTTGTTATTATTAACATTATTTTCACATCCTGTATTTGTTGGGAATTTTCTGCCTCTTCCCGTTTATATTCTTCACTATTTAATAATGAACACACTCTTATTACGTAATGGCTTTCATGTTTTGTAAGGATCATTTTCAGTCTATTTATCCACGTCTGACCTACTCATGATCGTATTTTTTTACTTCTATTAGTACACCGGTCTTTCTACTATCAACTTGTACTTCTGTCTATTATGTATGGTGACGTATTCTGTTTCATTTCATTGTGATTATTGACTGAGATTGCCTTGATTCGTTCAACATTTTCATGTATATTAGAGTAAAGCCTGATAACTATCTAATCGGAAACAATATTGTTCACCGATATGTGTTGTTCTAATTTTCATAATGGAAATCTTTGATATCGATAACAAATAACCCATTTCATGACATTCATCATAACAAATTAAATTTTGGAAATCGTCAAGATTGTTTTAATGCAAATGATAATAACAGTTATTAATCAAAGTAGAACAATATGAAAGTAATTAAGCTTACCACATGCTATTTACATTAATAATAATGATAATTATTGAAGAAGACAACATAAAGTCTAACTTTGCATACCTCTTTTATAAGTGCCTTCTGTGAATTCAATAATATTTCCAATCTTTCTTCCAACTGAATCAATAAACTATCATCATTTACTGTTGATATATTTCGAAATACTTCTTGCACGACTAAATCACTTTCATGAAAAATGTCATAAGCAAGCAATTGATTACATTTGCCTGTTAAACTGATTTCCTCCATCTTATAGAGTTAGTTAGTAAGAAAGAAATATATTATTGGGTAATAAACAGTTATAATAATAGCATTTTTAAGATATGAAATATATTATTTTTAATTTAATGACCCTATACAGGGTAAATGCCGTTCATCTTTTTATTTGGTGAAAATAACTAATTACATTGCATTATAGCACCATATCACTATAACATTAACTAAAAGCTAAGTGCTCATTGTTCAGTATTTTCGCAATATCCCAACATCGCTAGACTGATTTGTTTATTTTACTTAAAAGCTTTTCTGTGTATTTAATGGTAATTTTAACTGAGCTACGGAAGAGATGCAAACGATGAAACAGGCTGATTGATTAATTGAGAAGCATTTGAAATAACCAGCATTAACGTAAGCTTTATTTTCAATTTATACTCTTTGCATGGATGAGTGATTTCTGATTCATAAGGTAAATGGATAACGTGATGGTGTTTGAGGCGAACATTACTGTTTTACAGTCTCTAAGAGGACATCAACTCTGGGATTCATGTGCATCCAGCCGACGAGTCTCAAACAGGACAAAGAGACTGTCATGGATTCAGTAGCTAACTAAAGTTCAGTCTATTCTGTACCAACTTTCTTTGAATATTGAATAGTACGGATATATCAGAAATCTAAGCCTCTTTTTAAAGTGTTGAAGTACTAAGTCGTTCCTTAAAATATTAGTAGACTGTTGCTTGACCAATAGAAAAAAATGTATTGCATTTGATCCTCTGTTGCTAATGTTTAATAGGCTTCTAAACATCCAAAAAAAACTGTATCATTAATCTGAGATGTGATTAACTGTAAATAAACAATGATACTGGAGAAAATCGTTCTGTATTTCTTTAAAGCATAATGGAATTCAAAATTATAGTTGTTAGATAACGAATAAAAGGGATTAAGCTATAGATCACCCAAGTTTAAGAGAGAAATGTGAATGAATAGTGAAGGCTTATAAAATTCAATTCGAGTGCCTAAATAACAGATGCCTAAAAACGAAACAACTGATATGTAAAGATGACGATATCTTACTGTAGAATAGTATTATTATGCCAGCCCCTTTATACGAAAACAAGTATTATGAAGAGCTACTCAGCATACGATTGATTTTAGAATGTAACCAGTGGATCTGAGATTAGACTATTATATTCAATTCTTGCATGCTTTTTCAAAGTGTATTTCATAAACATAATCTTTCTGTAACTTAAAAATAGTTGGCGTAAAATTGTAGTAATAGATAAAACCAAAAACTACTGATAAAGTGAAACCGAATTCATCATCTAATTATAGATTGTTTATACAACTACAATATAATTGTTTTCATTTTAGAGTACAAGATTTTTAATACTTGACAGAACACCACTTCTCTACTATGCTTATCAATGTAACGTTTTGGTGTTGTTGTTTTTTTATGCAATAACATATCTTTTCAATCTCTATTTTTTCTCTCTCAATGCATTCATTCAACTGTTAAGTGATATCATCTATGTGTGCGATTTAATTTTACAGAGGAATTTCCTGGCAAAGGAAAAAAATAAATACATTCAAGTATGAATTGAATGCTAAACAAATATAAACAAACGTAATCAATTTCGTGTGAATTAATTGGTCTTGTCAATGCTTTTTCTTATTGGGTTTAAACTGTTTCCACACCAATTTCATTATACTGGTTTGTTTGTTTGTGTACATTTTGTTTTTGCATAGCTTAGTTTTTATTGTTATATTGTTAGGGAAGAAATAACACAACTTATGAATTTTGACTTCTACTCTTCTTTCTACACCATCGTAGTAGAGTGGCTTGTTTTCTCTTGTTGAAAAGTTTATCTGTCTATTCAATGAGAATTATGATTGAATAAGCATTGAATATTTAACCATTCGTCCCCACCCTTCTAATGACACAAACAAATTTAAATAGTGTTTATTTCTATATTTTCAAATTTAAATGAGTCAATGAATAAATAGACAACAAAATAAATATACGTCATGAAAAACTGTTCAAAAAACCAAAATTTACCAGATTGTTGGCAATTTTCTCACTGCCTAATTTATTTCTAGTAAATAAAAGTTGATTGTTAAGCAGAGTAAATTCATTCCAGTATTCATTTGATTTAAACATTTTTACTTCTTCGAATGCCAATTTTAAATTATCATTTTCTTTCGGAGTTTCATCGTTCTCTGTTTCAGTAAGTTCTAATATATATTATTCACACAAAAAATAGTTATTTAGTGAAATCAAACTATTTTTATGCATTTGAAATTATCAGTATTTCTGAATGACTAGAACCAGTGCTTACTTGAATTGCTTTGACGTCTTTTATGCATAAAAGTGAAACGAGTTTTAGTAATTCAATTTTTTTTTAATGAAGTACCTTTCAGCACGGATTCATATCATTCAAATGAATTAATTTATTGAGATTTATGTGTAAACACTAACTAAAAATTTAATAGTTTGGCGTAGAAACACTTAGAAATGAGCTATTTTGTTTTTGTTATATGCAGACAAATGGCATGCTACCGTATAATCAAACCGCCAAATGATTCCGCGTTTACTAAAACGTGGACGCTTAGTGCTTGCCTCGTCTAAACTATTAATTCTTTCAATACATATAATTTTTATGATGTTTTTTGTATATTTTTCGTTTCAGTATCTTATTTTAACAGACACATAAACCAAAGTGCTGTATATCTTCTATCGCTATATAAAGTAACAGCTATTTTAGTGGTGTAGTTAATTCTGAAGTGAATAATTTAACATTTAGGCTTTTATTCCCTTGAAAGGTTGTCATATTACATTACAAGAATAACAAATCATGAGCTTCAAAGTAAGGTTGTTTAAAGACACTATTCTTTTTAGAATTCAATACTAAAATGTGCCAGTCAACCCGCTTTCCAACTCCTGTCGAACATCCGTACCTTTGGAACTTCATCAACATTTTTTCACTAAACTAGACAAAATGAATAGGTCTACTAGAAGTAGCTGGTAATGAGGTTATATGGAATGACAATGATCGTTTTGCAATTCAACAAGTCAACTTAGAAAATACAATACTGGTAAAACCATCACAGAAACCACGTTATTGATATTTACTTAAACGGGGTCATGCCCTGATTATCATTACTATTCACTGTAGGCATAACATGTCACACTAGAACGCTGATCAAATAAAATCAAACTATTTTTTTTGAAAAATAGTGTGTATAAAATCAAATTAAAACATCTACAAAATTAGAAAATTATTTTGTTTACTTCTTAGTTAATAATTAAAATGATAAATTAAGCATATATTGCTACGTGTCTTGACATTTTTTCAATGTCGACAGTAATCCAATCCTTTCCACTTTTTTTATCATAAATTTAAATCAGATCAACTGGTAAATAACAACCATAGTAATAATAATGCCATAAAATTGAATAAAAATTATGTACAAATCATCAAATGAAATCTTAATGAAATTTAAAATAATAACAGAATTCTATTTCAATGCCGTTCGATTAACAAAACCAATAGGAAAAGTGAAAAGTTTTGATTAAAATGAATTTTTTTCTGGATCGTTGTCCCGTTTATCACTTTTCTAATAATATAAAGAAAAACATATTTTATTTGTTTATTTTCAGATTTTCGCTGTTGTGTACATACGATGTGTTGTGTTCACTGTTGTCGGAACACTAAGAGAAGCAATGAAATCTATTACTTTGAACTGAAGGTATTAATTAATTTTCAAATCATATAATTTATTATTATTTTTTTATGAAGATTAAAATTATTTTACAACCAAAACAGTAAATAAAAATTTATGGTCAAAAATAACCTATTTTAAGAGAGATTTTAAATTCATTGAAATCATGAACCGTTAGACGTTAGACTAATATTAGAGACCTGAAAGCATTTAGAGGCTGTTTCCTTCCTAGTTTGGTACTCGTCGACACTGCGCACCCATGACTCTGTTAGCGGACATAAAAAACAGAACCATCAAATTGCGTGCGAACAGCTAACCTCTTGACCTTTTGATAATCTCCAAGGCTTTTTAATGACTTATCATGTGCTCACTGGTAACTAACTTTGTGTGGGATTTCTCAGAGATTGAGTGAGGAGCCGTGATAGGTTGAGCTAAGCTATGTTTAATGTGAGGAAGTTAATATCGAAGACAATGGACGACGCTGCACAATATTGTAGATCGGTTCAAGTTTGATACTAACACTGTTGGATGCCCGCTGAATAGTCAAAAGGTTAAGCGTTCGACCGGAGGTCCTGTATTCTATTTCCGCTTGCAGTGTTTTAGATATGCACAGACGACAACTTCCATGCTAGGAAAAAATGGGCACCCAGTGCTTTCAGGTTTCTAATGACAGCGTAACATTAACATGTGCTAGCTGCAGCCTTTCTGCGATTGCTCTGTCGTACTACGGTATTCATTTCTAAGGACTAAAGTTGAATCTGCTGTCCCAACTATATCATGTCAACTAAAAGTAGATGTTAGTATTACTTAGTAAACCATGATCTACAGTAATGTTAACGAAACAAAAATTGTTCTTCATGTGGTAGAAGTTTCGTTCTATGATCTGGATGTTTTGGTTGTAGAGTTTTCATCCTTCTTCTGAACAACATCATCAACACAAACTTCAGTTCGAAATGAAGTACCAGAAGTTCGTGTTGATGATGTTGTTCAGAAGAAGGATGAAAACTCTGCAACCAAAACATTCAGCTCAGAAAACGAAACCCAACCTCATTCATCCGAGCTAAAAATGTTCCCTCCTAATTTGATATCAGGTCCTTCTTACTGAACTGTAACACTTTAAGTTTCGTAGAAATAAAACTCCCGTAAAATGAACCAACCTAGTATAAAGTCATTGTAGAAAATGAAACGTAGACAGGAATAATGATAAAAAGCAGGTATTTTTCTTAAAATACATTCATTGTATTTGATTGACGTTTGCATGACGTTTGAATGATCTAAGCATAAGATGCAGTGCAATAACATAGAGTAAGAAATATCATCATATAATGTATGTCTAAATTTTTTTTGTGAGTATCGTTTGCAAACAACAAACATTTTACGATGAGTTTATGGTGTGCTTTCAGTTATTTCCGAACGATGTTCGTTGTAACAATATTGAAAGAAACTAATGGCAGAATGAAAAAAAAACTGCCTTCACGAAACGTGAAATTTGTTCAGAAAAATAACAACCTTGAAGCCATAAATGTGTTACAGATTAAAATATAAAAACTACCCTCGGTAGTTGACGCTAAGTGCATAGAAAGTAGCTTTATCATATCATATTGGTTTACACATACCCTTAAGTATCCTTCCACCATCAACTTCCTTTATTTGACAACGAATCAATTCAGCTCGACACTGAAACCATAGATTTAAGATACTTTGTTGGGTTATTTGTTTTTGAGTCACATTTCCAATGTGATGTGATGTTTTGTAGTTTTCCGAACTATCTAAAATAATAAATTACGAAATTATCAAGTTAAAAATGACAGCCAACAGTAATTACCGCAAAAACGGAATGTGATAATTGTATTACGTCGTAAGAGTTAGTGAAGTTATTTTAAAGTTTGCTATGCATCATGTTAAAATAATTTACAGATGTTTAATAAGTTATGTTCGCTTCAACCAGTCTTCACTGTAGTAAACGCTAAAAGCATACACAATCCCAATCTTTTTCTCTATTTCATATGTTTAATGAGCCCCAGGCAAAATTCAGAAAATGCCAGATTCGTTCACTTGAACGAAGCATATTCAATCCCTACTTCTAAGATGATTCATACGTCTTATTTACAAAGTGCCTTCGTTTCCCTTTTCATTCATTCCAAAAACATTTTACCCTGAATGATTTATTTCCGCATTCACAGTCTTTCTAAACACATTTAACTCTTTAAATTTATTTCACTGTGTTAAACAATCGATTGATCTATCGATCTTGTTTGAATGATACTCGCAGTAAGTTTGGCTTTCGAATTAATCTTTTTTGAGCATCGGACTTAATTTATTCTAGTTTGTTCATGTTCACAATGGAGACACACTTTACCTGGAGTTTGTGGTGTCCATATCAATGCTTCAGTGGATGTATCCAAAACAGAGTAGATGAAAAATAGTAAGATCGACACCATTCATAAAACATTTTAGTCTTACTGTCAGACTTGTTCAAGGGAAATGTTTTCATACAGTTAGCACACATCTGTGAGTAAAAAGCCTTGAATTCGACTCTCCGATTTATACATATGGCTAGTGAATCAAATTAGTTATACTTTTCATAAGGACATTTTACTTCAGGTTATTTTTAATTCTTACTCTAAATAAACTAGTTACGTTTAGTGTTATTATCAATTTCAGGTCGAAAAATGACAATGACCTAGAAAAACAAAACCTTTTCGGTAAAGAAAATTTGTTATCTTGACCATAAGTGAAAAATATAATTATTTTTTCAAAGTAATTTTCTATGAAAGGACGATTTTGTACGTGTATCTATAGTTTAACTGAATCACTGTATCAGAAATGTAAAAAACTGCAAAATATTTGGTTAATTTAACCTTAAGTTTTGGAAATATTCATACTGACAGGACACATTATTTCACAGTTGATAGTCTGAAGAATCAATTTAAAAGACTGTTTTGATTATCCATCGAGAAAACCTTTTTGTTTAGAAGTGACAGTTAAGATTTCATGCCAGAATCTACAACTCATAATTTATATCCCGTCCATATGTCCATATGTTTGTCCATCAGTAGTTATCTAACATTGATGAAATCACTAAACTAGTTAAGTTAGTCACTGATCAACATAACTAGACCATGTACATCGAGCTTTTTTTCCACAAATAGACATAAATTCTATATAATTTATCAAAAACTACCATCAAAATGATATTCAAATCGACAGATCGATTGGCGATTGAATGAATTTTCCTGTAATATAGATTGAAGGCTAAATTTTTATTTTCCATGTCAAAATACGTTAATTAGCATCATAATTTATTGCTAAACGTTACCTAGTTCATGAGTATCGTTCTTAAACTATATCGTTGCATTCAGTGTCCAAATATTTACAGATCTAGATATTAATATATTGATTTCCTAAAATGAATACTCACTCATTAATGTTAGAAACTTGCGAATGTATTTCAACGTATAACCCATCAGGATTGAGCCAGAACGTGCCTGGTGCTGTAACGTCAATAATTTGGCTAGTAGAACAGCGGCTTCAACGATTATTACAAGTAAAGAATGATCCAAGTATAGTAAACCTGGAACCAATAAAACACAATCACTGAACTCACTTTTACCTTTATAAAGATGATTATTTAGTGTAAATAATGTATATTTGAGTGATAATCACAATGAAGGGAAAAAGGCAAAAGTGCAATTGGATAGTAGGAAAATAGGGGCACCGATAGTAGGAGGACCATTTATCAAATATGATAACTAGAGTAGGTCAAGGGTGGATGAATAGAAATCAAATAATCATCAAAAAATCATTAAAAACATCGAGAACATTACGGAATAAGCAGATGTGTAAAAATAATAAAAATAATAAAATTAAATTAAAATAAATAAAATATATATATAATGTCAATCGTTAGTTACGTCATATCCGGCCATATCCAGCCTGATGACGATCTAATCGAAAACAATATTGTTCGCTTATATGTGTTGTTCTAATTTTCACAATGGGAATCTTTAAAATTCGTAAATAATGTATAATCAAAGAGCAGTTACATCGTTCTAATGCAAAGTGCCTTGAAAAAATTGCACTTTAACTAATTACTTTTCAGAATTAGTTATATTTTTGTATATTTAGATTGTATAAACTTTGACAAACACAACTTACAATGACCTTGAACATTTTCACCGTTTTAAATTACATGCGCTATATCCTCTCTAGAGGTGACCACCATTTAAGTAAGATATACCGTTTTTGATTTGTATAAAATCTTTAAAGACACCAATATCTAGTTCGTTAATATATTTTTTAATAGTGCGAATAGGATTTCTTAATGATCTGATCAAATGTTAGTCAAGCATTTTTGACATGCTGCAACGGAAAGTTTTCAGGTCATACTTTTAACAAAATACAACATTTTATTGCCATTTACTAAAGCGATATAGGTTGTACAGGAAAGAATCAAGTTGAAATTTGATGGTCCTCATGATTTTTCATAACATCTGATATTTATTTAATTAAGCTTGCATTAGCATCTGTGTGTGCATGTCAATAATCATGTGAGAATTACTTTTTAAATAGTTGTCTGGAATGTTTAAAAAAAATATGGATCAGGATATAATCCATAGTAGTTGGACAAAAAATCATGAGAAGAGTTATTTGGAGAAAGGCAACAAGGTGCAAGCACAATTTTAAGTGGTTTCGACCTAGTGAAAAGAGGTTCACAAGTGACATCTGGCCAGACATTGCAAACAGACTAACAAATAACATAACTGTACAGAAGCTGAAACAAAATAGAGTCATGCTCGTCAGTTGAGATGCATGAACTACTAAGAGTTCACCTTAGTCGGTAAACGAGAGCGAAGATTAATAAACCAGTGACACTATAGGCTACTCTAATCTTAGCGTTACAAGGCCCCACTAAGTAGAGAAAGAAGCCTGACAAGACGTAGAAAATGTATTCTAAAACCACCCAGAAAATATCAGATTCACAAGCACACAAATCGAGTTTATTTATACATGACAGAAACGTCCTGGGGAGAGTCAAAAAGTTAGCGTTCTAACATAATACATCGACTAGTGACAGTCAAGGATTTATCGGGTGGGAAAGGCAATCTCAAGGTCAACTGGCCAGCCCATACGAGAAAACAAAAAATCCGAAATTAGGAACTTAATCAAGTGAGTTCTGGGGATCTCACTGTTATGATATTCATCCTAAGAGAATTATTGGTCAATTCCTATTGGTTAATTTCTACTGGTCAATTTATGATCGTCTTAGATATCAATGCCACGTGCTCCAATGTTGTTTTTCACTGGTCATCCTGAATTTCAATGTCACTTCAAAAGTTGTTTCTTATTGGTCGTCTTTACTGTCAATGTCACAGACTTCGATGATGTTTCCTATTCAACGTAAATGGATAAATACGCAGTATCTGTAACGTTCTATGACCAGGACCAGGACCAGGATCCCTAGTCCGGGATCCTGATTCTCTTCTGGATTCGGACCTCATACTTTCTGGATGCTTGTAGAATACAGGTTCTACTTCATATCAAGTCTTTTTCTTTTATTCACTGGGAGTTGGGATAATCGGATTGAGTAGCATGTCGTGTTGCCGGATCCCCGATCCTCGCTCTCCTATTCCGATTAGGTAAACTCGTAACAGTTCAAGTATATCAAGTTGATGTGTTTACGTGCATGCGTAACACTCACATTCCCAACAAATACATCAGTTGAAATTACAATTTTTTGTGAGAGCAGATAGTTTATTAGCAACACACTGGAAATGAACAATGCTCTGAAATAGCAGTCAGACTGAAGTTTGAGTTTTACTTCACCAGGATGAAACCTGGCCTAATGAAGATTGACAAATAAATTTGATGATACAAATAAAAATGATAGTATTAGTTTCCTATATTACGATAACTATTAAAACAAACCCAAACAGAAACGATTTGATCTAACTGTCATTGGACAGACTTCCATATACACGAAGATAACAAGCCTAATATATAAATTTTTTAAATCACTGACGTAATTTCATTATTATTCCCTCATAACTGTACTATAATATATAATATATATAAGCTGCTATACATCATTCTAAAATCATTAATTAGTGATTAGCATAACGGATGATCCTACATCATTCACTAAGATAAAAAGCTTTAAAAACGAAAACCCTAGTGAGTGGAAGGTGAAAAAATAATGATGATATTAAAATGTGTTAATTTAAACTTGTGATTTGAAAACAGTTAAAAAAATTGCAAAGGAGTTAATTCAACACTGGGAAAATATAAACCATATGAATTCATCAATTAACAGCTTTACATTGATTCACATTATCTCTTTATTTGTAATTGTAAATTATATTATCTGTCATTAACACAGTTAAGGTGATTTTGTTTAATGGTTGATTTCCGTAAATTCTGTTAACATTGTTTTTCAAAAGTTTGCGAAACGATTTACACTACTGCCTCATATTTGTTTCAGGATGATATGGAAATTTTTTTTTAAATGAACAATTCAATCAACTCTACTATTTTGTCTTTTTACGATAATTTTTTTCAGTTCTAAACTTTCGCATTTTATGTACAATATATCACTTTATGATAGAAGTATTTGATTAACTAGTTAATCTAGATACGTTTTGTTGACAAGCAGATTTGATCGTTTTCTATAATAATAATAATAACCCATCAGCTTATTAAGCACTGCACATATAACCTAAGTAGCTGAATCAGTAAGTGCATATATATAACTTTCACTTGTATTATTTTACACTTTAAACTCTTACTCTGGACATATTTACACAATCAGACAACACCATTTTCATGGAATGATGATCTCAATCAGTCGACAATTTTTACGCTAAATACACGATTTATCTTGAGTGCATGCTTAATATCCAATGTCTCTGCAATAAAGAGACCGGTATATATCTTTCAATTTTACTGATACATGTTAAGATCAAAGACATAATTAATCGTAATTACAATTTTATATAGCCAATCATTATAATTCTTAAATTTTATGCATGACCAAACAAAAAACCATATGCTCACTGGAAATAACAACAGGTTATTTACATGTTCACTATTACGGATATTCTCCTCTGCTGAGATAACTTTATGATTTTGTATAATTTGATCAAACTTACTATTATGAACAAGCTTCTGCTGCACAATCAAACAAACCCAAGTTTAACAATCAATGTTTCTTAATAGTTCTTAAACCTTTAACAGCAATCATCAATCACTATAGTGTAGATTGATTTCAAAACAATACGTTCTTAGTCACAGCAAGGCGTATATACAACTCATCCACTGAGAACCTAAAAGGTGCAAAATCTATCAGCAAAATTTAACAATCTTCTTTTAAATAACTATTCCTTAATCTAGTTTGCAATTTTCTTTGCAAGGTTTTAGTTTAATCGAAAAAGGGGCTATCAGAAAAAAACGAAATATTTATGACTATCCTATTTTCTCGTATACTTAAGTTTTCTAAGTATTATACAAGCATTTTTGGACTCATAATTTCAATGACAGACAAACAAAATGTTATCTAACTAATCAATAATGTATTACGATTACCAGAAAAGGTGAATTTAGTGATTATCATATGATTTTCAACCCATTTGGAGTAACTTTCGAGGGATAATATTTTTCTACTTGTAAACACTTGAATAAAATACCACATAAGTGAACTTTTCCATGAGAAGGCAGGTCATCTAACTAATATGTTTCTTAGGTTCTTTAAGTTTAATGTAATGGTTTAAGGTGAACGATCAAATCTAATTACACTATAAAATCTAACATTTATTAGCATTTTCATCAAAAAGAAACTACAAATGTAGTCATTAAAACGACATGGAAACTAATAAGAATATACTTACTTTCATCACGAATATTGTTTATCATTATTTGGCAAATATCGGATCCACATTTAAAAAGTAACTGCTTAAGATTTGCTTGAAAATTGAAGTGAGGCTTTGAGTTTTGATTGTCCATTTCATATAATAAACGAACAATATTTCGCTCTGATATGAGGTAAGCAAAGTGTAATCAATTCGAATAAAATGATATTATTGATATTGACTGTTGAAAAAAAATTCTCTTATAAATAATTAAGAATATATATGTCTTAAATAAAATATTTTCATTGTGACATTTCGGTAGACGAGTTAAAACATTGAAGGTTCCACAACGTGGTTATTCACTACTATGCATAGTTGTCCAGTTATATTGAATAAAGTTATACATAAATATATATATATATACACATATAAATGTATATATATGTACATATACATGTATATATATATATATATATGCATATATATATATATATATATATATATATAATGAGAACAAAACAATGAACCAGCGTCCAGGTAGGCTACTATGATCTCTTGACCAAAGTGTACCAACAGGAAGTCTCGATATAGCGCAGAAAGTGTATTGTACAAACACGCAGCCAGCACACAATGAATCCAAGCACTCAAATTGCATTTATTCATACTCCATAGAGACGTCCTTGGGAGAGTCACAAAATAGCACACTAAAATGACACAGTAACCAATCACAGACAAGTACTTCCCTGGTGGGAAATGTGATTTCAAGGCCAACTGGTCGACCCATGAAATAAATCCGAAATAAAGATATTTATCAAACGAGGTCTGGGGATCTAACATCCCCGACAATTTTCTTACAAACATTATACCCGAATAGTAATACAGCCACGATTGTAAACAAGACAGTATAAATAAAAAAGCATTGGTTTGTATCAAAAATAATTATATCGAAGGTCATATTAGAATTATTTACACTTTTCTGATCAAGCTGTTTAAGAATTCTGCGTTGGAAAGCTATGGGTTAGTCAGTATACAAATGCAGAAAAACTAATATTATTATTACTCTTAAAACTATTACTGAATGAGACATTATTTACCTTGATTTTTAGCTTTACGGCCACTTGATTTCATGACCTGATTTCGATTAGGAATTGAAGATAACATTTGGTTTCTGGAAAATCGAACAAGTTTAAATTACTTACAAAGATAATACTAATGAATAAGAAAAAAACACAACTTGAAAACCGTATTCAAATGAAACAATTTATCGTACTTTTCACATTGTTAACATGACTGGATGATTTGTTTCGCTTACAGATAATGGGGTGAACCATGCATTTTTATTCTATAGTTTTGATGTTTGAAAAAGCTTCGAACAGATTGTTCGACAAAATGTTGGGTTAGCGTCAAGTTCAATCATTGAGGCTTATCAATATAATTTCGCTCTTAATTGTTTTGACATTAACTCGTCAACCAACCACTTTCTAACGATTCGTCCCCAAATTAAGATGGTAGCTCATTTAAGTAGACGTAATAATTTTGAAATCTACATATTTACAAAACAACTCTCATTATTCGAACAACATAAATATAAGCGAAATAATACATCATTTAATATCTATTCATTATATATTATATATGTTTGTCAAATAGTTGATCAGAAGCACTTTCTCAGTACAAGTGATCAAACCTGGATTTATTGATATTAGTATAAATACAATAGACTGAGAGCGAAATTATATTACTTATAAGTTATTTTAAAAATAGTTGTGTCTGTAAAAGATTCACTGTGTAGTTTAAATAATATTTTCAGCACATCGAGAACATAAGTCCACTTAAAAATAAAAATGAAGGAAATCATTGGATCTCACTGTTAGACCATCCAGCTGTTAAACTGTCAAAACCGTGACCAGCGGAGTTCGACTGTGAGCCAGTCACTCACTAAGGACAATGGATGAAGTCGCGCAAAATCGTGGATTGATTCAAGTAAGACAATAATACCATTGGATGCGGACTTAGTGGTCTAGAGTTTAAGCGTTCACAAGCAAGATCGAAAGCTATGGGTTTGATTCTCGCTTGCTAGGATACCGGATGAGGACTACTGATGAGTTCATACAGGTAAGAAATGGTTTTTCAATGCTTTAAGGTTTCTAATGATAGTCTAGCATTAATCGGTTCACGATTACAACGAAATATGAAAAACTTCACCAAAGTAGTGATGTATCTTAACCAATAAATCAAAGGTTTAATGTTTATAAAGTCCTTTAATGCAACTTAGCATCAATGATATCCCAATTCCCTATATGCATATAATTTTGGGTCTGTTGCAAAGAAAAATAGAACTATAATCTAGTATACTGTTATCCTTGGCAGTTTATGGGGTTTACTATATTAGAAATATTTCTGATGTTTGGTTGATACTTCTAATTTCTACAATTACATGATTCTATAAGGGTTATTTCCTTCAATTTGTCTTATTTTAAACATTCTGTTTTGAAATCCAGTATATATATATATATATATATATATATATATTTGCTCAATGAAGTAACTTACTCAACTAACAATTTCTTTGGTAAATAAGGTATATGTTTTGCAATTTCATAGCAGACTTCTGCACGAATCAATTGTATTTCACAGAATAATCTAAAACCCCATTTATGAATTGTTTGTTCTGACAATTTATGTGTTAATAATGTATTCAAGTACTGTGAAATAAACATGTGAATAAAGGTAACAATAATTAAATCGACTTGCATTTACTGTTTATATAATTTCTACTAAAATTTAGTTAAAAAAAACTTTGTCTAAAAGTGAACATATGTTTAATATAGTAAAAAAAGGCTGCGAAAAAGAACTGTGATAATACCCTATTAAAAGTGTCATGTGCTTTGAGCTGTATGGTTTAAACTTGAGGTCGTCGAAGTTGCTTTAGACTGACTCAGTCGAGTCTGCATCAAATAGAAGTAAATTTTTCAAACTTATCATTCAAGCGTCAAATCAGTTCTTTCTATTGACCCTGATAATCACCTGGTATCTTTAAACAATTTTGTACTTCCTGTATGCTTGTTTACAGTTCTGTCTCTTGATTTTTTATAATGAAATTAACTAACTACTTTTTTGAGTAGATACAATGATTGCGGTAGTGTTTCGTTCTCTGATATTGGTGATTCAGTTGTGAAAAATATGGGACGCTTCACAATCTGAGCTACAAATTTTCTCCACCACCTCGATCTAATGAACTAGCATTTTAATGCTCTTCTACGGCATTTTAAAATGAATCCCTTGATATACTATCGATTTCCTGAAGATAATCTGAACACCAATAATTGATTTTTCACTTCTACACTGTGATTTTCAAGATGAATAAAGATAAGGACTTTCTCTTGGGTAATCATTGATATAAAATTCAATTTATTGTATTTCAATGACCTGATATGAAACTCATTGAGTAAATACGTTGCCTAGTACATTTTTAAATCCATTAGAGACAATAAGAGAACAATCGAAACATTCTTTTTTCATATACGGAGTTACTGAGGATTCCAAATTTACTCGAAATATGCGTCAAAATCACTCATCGATATGTTGATTAACTTGGGCTTCTTTCTAAAAAAGGAATAATAATATTCCAACTAACAATAAATTGAATTATTTGTTTCCCAAGTACCAAGTACGAAAATCGCCGTATAAATAGCAAGTTATATGTCATTCAGTGTCAGTCAGATGCAACGTAGAACTTCGTACGTAAGTACATCAGTTCACGTTGCCATACCACATCAGCACAGAGATATAATTGTCGATTCAAATCCAATGGTAGAAGAGGTAGTAAAGGTATTAGAAGTAATCGGAGAGGTTAGAATTAGAAGATATTATTCAAGAAGTATGATTCAGTGAGAAAAGTTTAGAAAGTCAAAACTAGAGGGGTTGAAGAATCCAGAAGATTAGGATTTGAGAGAACACAAAGAATAAATGCACCGGCGCCATTGCGAACGATTTTGAGCCATGTCATTCAAGGTCTCTAACCATCGATTATTATCATTTCGTGGACCACAACCAGGTAGTCGACAATTACCGACATGGCTAAGTCCACTTGTCAATGAATTCATGGATTTCTGCCATGTTTTGATCTGGCCACCACTAACTCTTCCAACCTATTCCTACACTACAAAACAAAGCTCGTCGAGTCAGTCGATGGTTAGCCATACGCAGCACATGTCCCAACCATCTCAACTACTTCATCTATTGATCTGCCATTCTTACCTAGCACCCGTTTCCTAATAACAGCGTTGCTCACTCCGTCATTCACTGTGATTTATTTAAATAATTTAAACCAAATTTGGAGGAAAGTATGAAACCTTGACAGTATTCACAGTACTTTTCATTGTATATGCTTTCAGTTATAGGTTGTTCTGTTAAAATTTTTAAATAAGCCTCACTAGATTTTTTTTTCTAAAAAAAATATGATCCTATAAATTAAAACAGGTATATTATCAACTTGGTGTTGTACTTTTAGTGCCAAAACAGCGAAACATTGGATATGAGAAAGAAAGTTTATAGATTATAAAAATATACAATTCATTCCCATAGCAATGGATTATTACAAAAAATAGTAGGACTCTGTTGTTGAAAGATTTAAAAAAAAATTTCATCAATATTATTTACATATTAATAATGATTATTCTGACTGACAGGTTCATTAGTCGTTAATCATGAGTTAACTAAACAGCTTAAATAGTATGGAAAAAACCGATCGATGAACTCATCTATTGTGAAATTGTTTTAATAGATAGATAATAAGCATTTATTTATAAATTACATGACTATTGTACTCATAGTTGGTAATACAAATCCACAGTGTGCATCAATTTATGATTATTCAAATGAGGTAACAATCTAACCGAAGAATAGAGAAATCATATTATCCTAATAAACATCTGTTGTTCAATAAATTAGAAAAGGCTTCTATCAATTATCAATATCATAGTAATTAAATAAATAAATATGATTGTAAACTATTCATAATCTATAACAAATTATCAATAATAAAAACGACATTTTCAATATCAAATATCATAATCTGTATTTAGATAATTAAGGAAGATATTTATTATATGATTAATTGTTTACATAAACAAATATTGAAAGAAGGATACACAGAATGTGAACGACAAATCATGTGTATCATCTGCAAGTTTACTTGGTTTTATAGAACACCTAACAAAGTCCGTAAAATATGAGCTCATGCGAAGTACATCACTGGACATTATACTGCTTGCATATCCTAAAGATAAGATAAGCCAACTAACCATTAAGTTTTCAAACATTCCGTATATTCTAATTCTGTATATTCACCAGAATCGTTGTTCAAAATCATTTTCGACAGTTAAAAGAATTGACTCGAAAAGTATCTTACTTAAAAACTTATGTATTGCAGAAGCTCTAGCAATCAACCATATAAGCTCATTATTACATCCTAACTCTTGTTACCTCTAATAGAGTATAGGCTGCCGACCAGCATTCGCCAACCTACGCATCATAGGTTTACAAGAACTATATGTTTAATCCTAGCTTGTCTTTAATCTCTTCTATTTTTCATTCTTAATTGTTTATCGTTTTCTTTTCATTTTATGATTATTTCTTCACAATGACTAAGTAGCTATTCCAGTTTAAACCCATCAAAAGGACAAATAACACTCAAGATCTTCATCTATACATTTTTAATAATCACCACATCATTATACAACTTGAGATATTTATTTTGATAAGCAGTTAATATTCTAAAACCTCCTGATATTGTAAAAGATAGAAAATACATAACAAATAAACTATCACCATAAAACTGAACAAAGCAAGTGAAAAGCTGTGTTGTTTCACTGCTATAGCTTAACATTTCCTCACTAAAAACTGACATATTTATGACAATGAATTCTTTCCTGCACAAAGAAAATATATAATCATTTAGTTTAAGACGTTTGTGCTTTTGATGTCAATAATTATTCGAACACCCTGGATGCGTCAGTCAACAGACAATATTCCCAACTTGTGACATAATTTTGACCCAGTTAATATAAAATGATATGCATAGATAAACATCCCATTTAAACATCAAACATTACGAACTATATAGATAAACATCCCATTTAAACATCAAACATTACGAACTATACGTGTTGTTTTCTAGCCTTCTTTACTCAATGAACTGTTAAAATTTATTTCATATGCTTGTTTATAAGACTTCGAATCCTTGAAATTTCTTGTCCAGCCAACTTTAACTAATCTCAAGAGTTATTAGTTGGGAAACAAATGGAAATCTAGTAGTTGCCACAAGACATATTTGTAGTAAGATACAAGCAAAAAGTCACGATTTTTTAGTATATTTCTTCACGACAGATCTTGTGTTAAGAAATGATTATCCAACAAAATCTAATTATTCATAAACATGTCAGTCTATGGTACATGACCTTGTATAATTATTAGAGTTGTCAGTAGCTAGAGCACTGCCTAACAAATTTAGCATAAAATCAAGATATCGTGCAAATCAGTAATGGTAAACTAATGAGACAAAGCAGAATCTCAGCTAAAGAACTTTGGTCAGATATAAAGAAAACTGCTACGGGTAGTTGATATTCCATTTAAAAATATTTGACTGCAAGAATAAGTACCATCAAAATGAAAAGAATGATGTCTCACTAATGTACCAAAGAAAGAGGATCCTACTAAATTCAGAAGCCTTGATTATGAGACATTATTTGACAGAAAGGACCGAAATATCTTGCGTAATCTTTGATACTGCAGAGAATTCGAACCACTTGATGGAACGCTTTTAAGTGGCTAAATTACTTAGTCTTGCATGAAGATTTACCTAAAGATATATTCCAAATTAGGTCTGATGCTATGCAAAACTATCCTGTCTCCCCTGGTCTCTTTTTATCAGCTGTTGACTGGATGTTGAAGGCCTATGAAGATCTGATTCAGCGCAGAATACCGTAGATTCCTTGTGTACAACAAAATGGTTAGGAATTGGAAGACGACTCTGCCCTGAAAAGCAATGGTTACATCCCGACTGTTGGAGAATATCCGTCACATAAGACCAAAATTTAAATTTTGAACACTAAGTCAGTCGGTCAGTTACAACGTAGAACTTCGTACGTAAGTACATCAGTTCAAGTTGCTGTACCATATTAGCACGGAGACGCGATCGTCAATTCAAATCCCATTGTAGTAGAGGAAGTAGAAGTATCAGCAGTAATCAGAGAGATTAGGGTTCAGAGATATTATTGAAGAGGTATAATCCAGTGAAATAAACTTAAGAAGAGAAAGATAACGGTGATGAAGAATCCAGAGGATTGGGATCTGAGTGAAGCCGAAGAATGAATGCACTTGCGCCATTGCAAACGGTTATGAGTCATGTCATTCATGGTCTCTATCCGTCGACTATTCTCATCTCGCGGATCGCAACCAGATAGTATACATTTATCAACATGACTCAATCCAGTTGTCGGTGACTTCATGGGTTTGATGAATGAAAGTTTTGTTTCTAAAAGCATGTTAGTGGCAAAGTTAAGTAAGAATATAGAAAGTGGACAGCACTTAAAGTAGTCAATTCTGATGAAAGTTCGACCTGAGCTCTAACCCAACAAGTAGTTTTCGAGTAGAGAGCTTGATTTAGGTTAATGTACTTCTTTGGTACACTTTTCAATGATAAACACTGCCAAAGAACCTCACGATCAACCGCTATACATGCCGTTTTAAGGTCAAGGAATACAACTATTGTGGGGCGTCTGAATGTATGTCTATTTTATAGGACCTATCGAAGTGTAAATATATGGTCTAGACAGCCATATCTAGATCTGAAACCAGCCCACTGTTTTTACGAGCACTAATTACGCGTCGAATTATTATTGAAGTCAATATCTTAGACACAACATTAGTTACACTGATTCCTCTGTGACTGTCAAAAGAGGACTTCTGTCCTTTATTATAGACAGGAACAGTTAATGATTGGGACCAGTCAGATTGGATTACTCCTATTTTCCCATTTCTAGCTAGTATCTCAGTCAATCTCACTGCTATAACTGAGCAATTGTCCTTAAAAATATCGGGAGTTAGCTTTTCAGAACCCGCTGCTCTCCCCGGCTTCATATTTCCTGTAGCGATTTCAATTTCTTTAAGAGTCAGAGAATTGACATCAGTTTGCCATTCAGGATGAATGGAGACTGTGGGCAACCGAAGTGTGGCTGAAGGCCAGTTGAATTGATTCATGAATTGTTCTGCCTATCGATCCAATTTCCTGTGTTAAGGACGAATGATACGAATATCCCGATATAGTTTGAACATCAAAGTTATGACAGTTCTGATATATCCAGCTAAAAATAGGAGAAATACAGTGGCAATCACCGATAAATTGTAGATTTATAAACAGCTACCTATAGAAGTTACTCCAAATCCATTAACAAAAAATCATCAGTGGCAGTGAATAGAAAAGCTGCCAGCTGAGGAAAAAGTAAGTAAATAATGCTTCCGATGAATAGAACATACTTTATGAAGACTAATAAACCCTAATATAAAGCAAACATTAACCTGGAATCCTAAAAAAAACGTGGAAAGTCGGGGGTCGCAAAACATGACTTCAAGAATTGGATGTAGATATCAAGACCATTCCGAGAACTGGAAAAACGGTGTACTGAGAACAGAGCTGGTTGGAAATACATCGTTCGCAGTCTAGACACATGATGTATAGGAACGACAAATAAGTGACTTGTAATTTAAAGTTGGATAGAGATTACTGAACCAATTTTTGTAGCCACAATTACTTACAAAGTAATCACATAATTTCTGTTTGAATCATGTTACAACTCACACATGATTTAGTTTTATGCCACACGATCAAAATATTAACGAAAATATATTGTGTTTTTACTTCACATAAATATTCACTTCATAAAATACACAGTAAACCATGTACTGTACTGTATTGTGATGTACATCTCTTAACAAAAGATTTACGTCACTTTTTGACATTTCTGGACCAAAAGTTCAGATAGAAGTACTTGGCGTTTTTAAAATGTCATCATACTATAAAATAAAGTGATAAGTGAAAAATGTTCAACCATAAACTCTCGCAGTGAGAAAATTAGCATCGATAAACGTTCTAATTGTTTTGTTTAGTGGTTTAGCCGTTTTAATCTGTGTATCACTTATAAAGATAATCAGAATAAGGTATGTTTTTTGAGTATATTATTGATGATTAAAATTGTTATGTGATTATATTCAAAATATGACATGTTACTCTGTCTAAATTATCTGTATAGTTCAATACTTAAGGTAATCATTCTTCCTCATAGTTGTAAAGGTTTCGAACATTTGGTTTATTTTATAACACGACTTTGATTAGAAAGTACCTGAGAACTCACTTTTTCCCCATCCGATTTAAAGCACTATTCGTCAAGTTATCACTACAATTATTGTTTCTATCAGCAAAATAACAACAGTAATGAAATTTCGTTAAGTTTGTCTCAATTAGCAGTAATAAGCATTTGTTATATAACCGGAAATATATTTTCTGTAGCATATCTATCTAGCTACGAAACATACACTGAATAGAAAATGTTTTAGACAATAAACTTGGAATACTGAGAGGTAAATTTGACATTGATCGGTTCATGGTTTCAAAAATGTGTAACTTAACAATCTTCACAACCCCGTAATGCAAATTTTGAAGAATTAAATTACTTCCGAAAAAAGCTTTGTTCCGCATATTACAGTAGTTGTAATCTATGCTCACTTATTTCACAATTTATAGCTAGAATCCTACAGTCTTTATAGTCACTAAAGTATTTTTTTCACGAGCATATTTTATCCTTTGAAACTGTTCATACGAACTTGGGAAAACGAATCAAGAATATCTACGATCTCATTGAATACCTTATTACTATTCATCGTTAGTAAAATGAATGATTAACACTAACTGTTACACTTCTTCTAATATATAGCTGCGTTAGAAATGAAGCATTAAGTATGTACATTTTTATTTTTCTCTAGTTTGTAATCTTAATTTTTCAGCTTCTTATTCAAATCTAGATCAGAATATCTATTTAATCTATGGGTATTGATGTTTGTTTGCATCAAGAAAGAACTTATTTATTTATTTTACTCATTATTACAACAAAAAGAAACATCTGTTCACTTATCTGTTGTTCATGCACATATGTACAAATAAACATATTTATTATATATAGTGAAATATCTGCATTATATTATTCATTTCATGATCGAGTAAATGAAATTGTTTTTAAAGATATTCTGATAAATAAGAGAATCACAAATAAAAAAAAAATAGAACATTCATTTAACTTAGTAAGTGTACACTTCATTGATGTGGATTTGATCATTAGCATTTATATTAATCATTCGCCAATACTAATCATTATTGTTATTGTATTGGCTACCTCTACCTTTATACACATTATTTTCATGCCAAATTGACCGAATTCCATGCACCCGAAAACTACTGACAAAAAATTATAATGATACAGAAAACTGAAAACGCCAAACAAATGTTTATGGAAAAGCTAAGATATTTTGGAGTTATCTTAAGAGTACATAAACTGATATGCATTCTATTTGACTTGCCAAAATACATTAGGCACAACATTTCTACGTTTATCTAAATGAAGTAGCTACTGCAGTCTTTAGGTTAATTGGAGATGATAGGTAACAAAATTGATATTTGGTGAACAGGTGTTGACGAAGAAGCTACCAGTGATTGTGTTCTACAAACAAATATAACTCCAGTTAATGTAGAATTTTTGATAAGAGAAATGAGTTTACTATCTTAGATGATGTAAATCATCTTTTTTTTAAACACCAATAATAAATAACAAAATTCTAAGAAAATTCATTGAACATCTGACTTACATCTTGAATTTTTGTGTCGTCAAAATTTACCAAGGAATTAGAAGACTCATGTATAGCACTGTTGTCAGTTTGTTCTTGTAAAATGGTACATAATTCCACTAGTGATTGTTTCAATGCACCAAGGCCAATAAGACATTTGGTTTGAAATAATTTTGCCTTTATTTCAAGCTGTGTATTTTTTAATAGACTTTTTCCAATATAGTGAAATAAGTAGACAACTGGAAATGCCTTTTAAATAAATGTATCAATTAATATTGTACTATGATGGGGATAAAAAATTACATATTTTAGTCAAAAATTTGGAAGTTGCAATTTACCTTCATTTGTAACCATGTAATGTTACGTTTACTGAACATATTTGTCAATTATCATCATGTATCATTCAGAACAGATAAATGAATGGAATAGCTTTTGTATAATAAAAGTTTGTTAGCTGTTTGTGTTCATAAAGCTCATAGGATATTTATCGTTGTATGTTAGGTAACAAATTTAATTTAATTGTTTAGGAATTTACAATTTAGGATAAAATAGGATTTAATGATGTATTTCTCACAAATACTAACAATATCATAGTACTCATGAGGAAGCTATCGCTCACAGTTTGAGATCTGCTTGTATTTGTTAGCGTAGACAATTAATTAGTCATATTTACTCTCACAGTTAAACATATTTTGAATGTAACTCAGTTTAAGAATTTATCTTTAAGCACTTTCTGATAATATGTATATTGTTGATGAAATATTGATCAGTTGAGAGTTATTGTTTCTACTATAAAATGCACTCTATCTCTATTGGGCAATGCATAATATCCTTAATGGGTTACGATGAATGACAAGAGATTACATCTTCATGAATGAAGAAAACAGTCAGAATAATATTCTATTACTACTTGCATTCATTCTCAGATGCCAACGGTCACGTTGGCATATGATTAGTGAACTAAACAACAACCTATTAATCATGCGTTTAAATCGTAATTCCGGGCACTAGTTTACAGCTTGATACCTGCCGAGAAAAAAGTAAATTTTTAAACTACCATTTGAATATGATTGTTTAACAGTTTACTCACAAAAAAAAAAAAAACAATACTGTCATGCATTCTTTCCTGTATAATCTGAAAATCGTCAATTTTTTTTGTGTATGACTCTTTTTTTTGATTAATTAATATAACAATATGAAGAATAGAAAATTTGGAGAAAAACAAATATTTATGTGAAAAGCTTTATCAATATCCCTTTGGGAAATAAAACAGATTAATCTTCTCTGAAGTTTACCAATGAAACAAAAAAAAAGACTAGGAAGTTTTAGAACTGCAACACAACAACAACAACAATAACAACAACAACAAAAATTTCATAAACATAGTACTAATTACTTTCTATGCAAGTATTGTAGATTGTCACTCTTGGATGTTTGTTTGTTTGTTTGTCTTTTTCATAAATAATAGAATGAATTAGTCAAATTATTTGACAAATTTCACTGGAAAAACAACAGACTCCTCTATTTTAGTGTTCAAAAACGATGCAGAAAAAAACACATTAGAATGCTTATTATTAGTGATTTCAAATTTGTTCATAGGTAGGTAGGTAGGTGGCAGTTAATGTGTTTGATTGATTTCGGACTAAATAATGCAAACTAAAGAAAATTTTGCTCATCTACCTCGGTAAAACTAAAGAGAATAAATTTAAATGATTTAAAGAAATCTGCTTCGAAAAACTTGAAACATAAAACTATGTATTTGAAATAACAATGAAATTGTTTGAAAAAATGAAACGTAATCATTTTATTATTTTAAATTACTTTTTTTGACGATGGGATTAAATCAAATTTGTAAGCTCCTTAGGGTGATGCTTATTAGTTTATTATTTTTTCTTTTTAAAAAAGAAGGAGAAGCTTCATTTGACGTCAAAGCTTTTAAAATTAAACCCTCCATCCACTATAAAAACATCATTTTCTCCATCTTATCTAACAATAATCGATATTCGGTATTCAATCAAATACAGTTAACGTGAAACAGAAGATCAGAAAAAGTGAGCCTGTAAACACATCATTACAGATCATCTATTGAAATTTATATGTAACATTTCTTACAATTTGGCGTCAGCTAGTCCATGAACCGAATAACAACAAAGTCTTTGTGAAAATTAGGCCCATTCTCAAAACCTTTCATTGTGTACACTTATTTAACTAATACATGAAAATAAACATCATTAGTTAATATCTTACTTCTGTAAAATGTTCATGAGTTATTAGATGATTCAGTGTATTGTCCAATACATCAATCACATTGTTTAAATCGAAACAATAATTGGTAAATATCTCATCCAGTTTTAGAATTCTCAAAGATTCCATCGGTATAGAATTGTTGTAATAATCGAAATCTCGTTTTGCACATGGTAAACTACCGTGTAGTATTGACTGTACAAATAAAATGAAGCAGTAAATGTTGAGTAATGTGGCATGTAGCTCAACAAACCAGCATTTATGTTTACAAATCCACTAAAGCTAAAAGTTGATAATGTAAATGTTTTCCTACTAGAACCTCAATACTACCATCACGCTTTTATCGCTGTCTGATACTGTCATTAAATTATAAGTTTTTCAGAAAGGCAAATAGCAAAGAGTTGTACTGATTGAGTATTTTGTTAAGAGAAAAATAATTTGACTGTAGTCCCATTAATTTTATTACTTATAAAGACAGTGTGCTGCTTTCTGGTAAAGTCAGATATAATAACACAGATAAGGTGTGTAGGCAATCACAATGTAAGTTGATATCAGATTAATAAAAATAGCTATTAAAAATCAGGAGAGCATTAAACATTCGATTATTTTTGGCTGGTGATTCTTCTGTAGTGGGCATTTGCAACATTATACAAGACTGACCACAGAGATGATGAACACCACTAAAATTAGACACCGACAGTCTGCATTTTCAATCTCAATTTCTAAGATTTCCTATTAAGAAAGAGAGCTTGACAATTCAGTTACACAGGTCAGAGAATCTGACACCAGTAAAATGTCGAACTCACTTTGAATAATGCTGCACAGATCATTTGACATTTGCATGCTTGATTTTTCGAAATAAGCGAATGCCTAAGTAAAAGTAAAAATTATTACAGAAAATTGTAGCTTACTTGCTTAATAAGCCCATTACTAGCGCACCAAGTAAACAACCCGATATACCAAATCTTTTAATAATTCTAAACGAATACTTTTGCATAACATTTTCGAAATCACAAATATTGATTGCGAGATCAAGATTTTCAAGTGTGGCTTTTCGTTCAAATAAAATATTGATGATTATTAAAGCTTGATGTGTAGCCTGCCTGTTGAAAAGTTAAAATATTGATTAAAAAAAAGAATGTACTCAACCCTCACTTTATATGATCGACTTTCAAATAAAATCTTAACATTTCGAATCTAATCATCATCTCCTGTAAAGTGCTGTTGTGTGGTGTGAGTAGATCTAAATGTAAAAAAATTATTTATGAGGACATTTTTAGTTTTAACTATGATTCAATTACCAAGAGATTCATTATAAAATTTTATTGTATGATCAAGTAGATTTTCATGAATTTTTCTTTTTGAATGTTCTGTTGAATTGGTGACAAACAAAATTTTTCGATCCCATTGGGATACACTGTTTTGCAGATCCGCCAACTTCTAAATGTAATACGATAAAAAATACCTGTTTAAATACAATTATACAATCATAATTTAATCAAAATAATTACATATTTTGTTCAAAATTGAGTATAAACTAATTGTAAATGCTTTTTATGTCGTTTTTCGACTATCTCTGCACTGAAAAGTTAGAACACATGTTGACATAAATACCTTGAACGTAGTATTACTTGAAGATTCTCTCATAGAAACCTTTTTCATTGAATTGAGAGCACTTATAAACGTGAATTACGTTATTTAAACAGAGTCTATCAGAATTCGACACATTTTTCTCGTTTGTTCTGTTCACTTATTCACTCAAAAAAACTACAGAATTTTGAACGTTTTAAATGAATTTCAGTTGAACACTATATTACAGACTATAATACCTAATTTTAAAAAAATATATAATCATCAAATGAAATTCAGGAAATCTCGATTAGCATCAACTTTTTGAAGACTGATTCTTACTAATAAGGGAACAATCCTATGATTTTGTTAAATATCTATCAGACGAACTCAATTCAAGTTTCAATGTTCTCATAAAAACGCACATATTGAATGTTCTGTCTCTCAGGTTTTACGAGATTTGTCCATTTGATGGCTAGTTACGAAACAAATTTCAAGGACATTTTAGTGTTTATGAGGACAACTTGTTTGACGATCACAGTAGACAGTGTACAATCAATAGGATGGTGTAGCTTTATGTACTTTGCCATTTAATTGAACCAACGAAAATGGTGATAATGTCATCAGCTGTTTTGAAAACTCCAAACTTCTTCGTTAAAATAAACCATACATTTACATCTGTTGCAAGACAAACTAATTATTTACATACATTTGTTATAATTAAACTTTTATTCTTACCGTGACAAAGCTTCTGTTAGAAGTGATCTCTAATTGCATTTGATTACTTCCATTATTTGTAAGTAAATATAATTGATATGCTAAAATTGACTGGTACAATCTTGCTTGATCTATCTTATTCATAATTCCAGAGTAGTGCAAACATTCGGCCTCTTTTAACTCACTTTCTGTAATTTTTGAGTTTAAAGGTACGAATATATTGCATAGGGCCAGTTCTTCTTCTGACATTGATCTAGTCTATTGAATTATAATAGAAATGAAGAAATATTTCAAGCAATTCTTCCCATCAATTTTAAATGTCCTTAAAAATTTACTTTTATCAATTATGAAATGACCAAAGTGAAAGAGTACAACTTTATATGAAATTAACATTGTCAAACAACCAGCACTATAATATTACAGTTAAATTTGATTGCTCAAATCAGTACACTGTTGGTATTCCATAATACTGTATGTATTGAAGTGATTCTTTTTTCATAATTCAGCTAAAATGACTAAAAAGAAGCTACTCGTTCATGGATTTTTTTCTGCATACAGACGTTAGAATTTGAAAGTGAGCTGCATCGTTACGCTATTAAAACTAATTGCCGTATGAATATGTAACAGATTCCACTGTTGTGTCTACAAAAATAACCATTATTGGTAGATTTGAGCTATCAGTATCAATATATATGCCAATACAACAAAATAACTTAAACATTTTCTAGTTGTATTCAGACTACACAAATGAAAGCTTTACTACTACACTCCCTAAAATATTCTTTTCACTTTAATTCTACATTTTCAACCTGCTCATCTAAAACCCATAATGTAATCACCTCATTGTGAGGATTGTAAGATAATCTATCATCTAAGCTACTCTACTTTTTTGATCAGAATAGTAATAAATGGATATAATATCCTAGACATGTAAAAGACTTTGGCAAAATTTTGTCGGATGAAAAGCATATTATCATAAAAACAATTCAAGTTTCAATTCTGGAATTATCAGTCGTATCATTAGTATATATTTGTTAACCCTTAAATATCCTCTCTTCGATGATTATTTCTATTATTATTGGTATAGTTATTATTATCATTATTTTTATTATCGCCATTATTAATCATATCCCCCTAAAACTCTCGTTCATTTCCACCTCAGTAAATTTTCCTTCAAAACAAAGACTGTCAACAAAAAAAAGCAACCGATCACGAATGTCCACAAAGAAGGTTACAGAGAGCCCGCTTTTTTCTATTTCTATTTTTTTTTTGTTTTAAATATTATTTGCTTATCCTACTTATCTCTTCTTCTTTTTTATTCAATAAACAATATTGTTTATTGTTTAAATGATATTGCAACAAACTGATGAATATTGTTGATGTGGAAGATTCAGTATGATAAGATACAGATATACATATATATAATGAGAGAGGCAATTTTATTAACAACACCTCAAACATGGTGGAAATATATATATATATATATATATATATATATATATACATAGATAGATAGATAGATAGATAATGTATATGTATAATACCAACATCTATATTGCATTCAAAAAAATATAGATATAAACTCTAAACGATTAAATGAATAAGCTATTATTAAGGTAATGACTGAAAATATGTATACAAACATTTCGTTGTTGTATTGTTGTTGTTGTTGTTGTTGTTAATACTGTTGATATAAATATATATGGTTTTACGCCCATATGGACTGTTACAGCTAGTTTTGTTTATGCAACAAAGACAAAGTGAATATTCAGTATTAAATTATATCAAGCTGAAGCAAACACACTACTGGTGAAAACAATAACTGAAAAATAATTGTTATGATACACTGAACAACGGTAAACATTAACAATGGATTATTACAGCCGTCACTAATGGAATATAAAAGATAATAAAAAGTCTATTGGTAAACACTCAGAAAACATTCTTTTAATGACTGTGTGATTTTAAAGACTTTGCCGAACACTTAAAAACATTTGCCATAACACTATTTGGATGACAGTGGACGATTGTCAGACTATGCTACGAATTAATTAAAGTTGAAAATCTATAAACTGGAAGCCAGCCCAGTGTTCTAATTGTCCAAGTATTATACTTCTAGGTCTTGAGGCTTTTTTATCTGGTGAGGTTTTAGAATCTCACTTCAGAGTAGTCCCATACTTTGACAAAACAAATCTCCAGTGCTTCATGGTTTACAGCCGTAAGCCAAATAACGCCAATCTATGCTGAATACTATCTACAAAGCCAACTAATCTTAATCAGATTCTCTGTTTTAAAACAATAACAGGTGAATGGTAATGTTTGTGATCTTCTAGAGAATCGTACAAGAAAATTTATTGTCTACATACATCAGTATTTCTAAATTGTTAATGTCAATAAACGCTTGACTGCCTAAAAACTAATTGTATATTGTATTAGAAAATGACTGTGTTAATCGAAATCAATTGAGTCTAAAGAAAGAACAAGTATCGCACCAGAATAACATGATTTCATTTGTTTTGTGGATACGCCTCAGTTGCTTACAACTTAAATCACTGTATTGATCATTAAAAAACGAAGCAAGTTTACGTAACCGATATAGGAATTATCAAGAATAACCTTGTCAATAAAATGTGGATATATATTGATAATAAGTGATCAGTAGAATTAGAACTGTTCAAGAAATCTGCTCACTTATAAGTTAAGTATATGAATAATCCAGATGTGCATTGGAACAGGTCTTTTTCTGGAGACAGAAAATAAATTATATAAGACAGAATAGCTGAGTAAAGGTGTGAATTAAGAACTAAGGTATAGAAAATGTGAGAACAGATTACGGGAACAGTAACAGTTTTATTTGAGTAAAGTCACAAAAATTAAGATCGCCAGGGTAAAACAAAACTGGTCACTATTTTCATATGGAGATGTCAATTCGGTTTAAATCTTTTTATTACAGTTGGTTCAACAATGAGTAACAAATAGGAATTCTAACCATTTTGAAAGATTTCGACTTTCACCTCTAATAATTTGGCTACAGGTAGAACAAGCGTTGAAATGAATTCAGAAACAATTGATATTGATCAGCGGTATTTCATGTTTAGAAAAAATAACATCATGTTAGTAAATCAAAGAAAAATGCTTTATATCTAAATTTGCTGATAAGACTTTGCTTGTTCACCTCTTCTGCTTCAAAATTATTGATAAAGCTTTTCAATCGAGTGTACTATAATTAAAAAAAAACGCTGTACGTTCAAGAATTTCCAGCTAGCTTACCTTCAAAACGAATTGGTCATCATTTAAATGACTCTGCGGTATTAGCCATCCGTTCATACGTACTTTAGGCTGTACAGGTTTTATTTTTTCACTCTTTTGCTGTGTAATATCTGTCCAATTGAAGTTAGACTTTTGTGTTGTATCAATTACAGTATTTTTTGTCCATGGAAAAGTAGCTTTTTTAAAAGTTTTACATTGATTCAGAAATTCTAAAAATTGTTTAGATGTTAGTGAATAAGTAGATATGCTTGTATTGCAGCTATTGATAAAGTCATTATTTTCTGCTTGGAAGGTTTTTTCTGATTTTGGCTGAAAAAAATATGTATAAAAAAGAATGCAGATCTTTCACCTGAAATCTCTTACATAGACTGTGATTATCGTGAATTAAGCACTAAATAACGCGAGAACCCTCCTACTGATATGTAAGTCTTCATTTACACTATCTTTTGTGGATATACAGACATTTCAGCTATCAGTATCCAATTTTACAATGGGTTTCAGTGACATGTTGGAAAATAAACCGCAGCTATTTGACGAACAGACATTACAATAGGCTTGTTATCGTGTATATAAGTGACAGACCACAGATTCTATTACGTCATAAAACATTCTAATTCAGTATATGTAATTTCACATTACTATATAGTTGAAAACAGCAGGTGCAACATATTTCAAAACAAGTTGTGCACAGAAATATAGCAGTGAATCAGTAGTCAAGTATTTAACTATTTGAAAATAAGTAGAACGTCTATTTCAACAGGCTAAATGATGCGGTTATTGTAACTTGATTAACAGGCTTCGTTCAGTATTAAAAGAAGCTTGACATACGTATCAATAGTACCCACTCAGCGACCAATCAGTTGTTAAGGCATCGCACGCCCACATGGTCAGTTTGAATACGTCAGCGGTAAGTTTTCAAGCCCTGAAGTAGGGTTGTGTTGGGTTGAATTTACCACTAAGCATAAGTTCTCCCAGTAGTACAGATAACCATTGCTGATGAGTTACAAATAGTTCAAAACCTAGATATGTAAGAGATATTAATGTCGTTCTTCATCTACTAAGTAATCCGATTTCATGTTCATTCTAATTGTTCTTTCATTCTCAGAAAATTATGAATTCAAAGGAGTATGCATCTTAACATATTTTATCGTAAAAGTCAAGTCTATCTTCTTAAAAAAATATTAATTTACATTGAGTCAAACTTATCATATCTATTCATCAAACAAATAGATTATTTAGATTGGTCATTAAATTTGAAATAAACTCGGTGAAGAACCATCCAATCGTTGTTTTATTAAATCAGAGAATCTATTACACTATGAGATAACGCTAATTGTTCAGTAACAAGGTAAATTTATGAATTATTCAAGTAGAGTTGGAAGTATTTATTTTAAATTGATCAGGATATCGAAAACTGAATCCATTAAGAAAGGAATGAATTTTACTTTGCTTTACTTTTCAGTTTTATCAAACAAGCTAATATACATGAAACTTAAGTAACCAGACATTGGAACTGCATTTTAACCTCCTATTAATTAGTTACTTCGAGTACGTTTTTCTCAAACGGTTCACTGCCTAGCTTGTTTAATGCGATTACAAAACTTGATATCAAAACTAAGAATCCTCTGAAAACCGGTTGTTCCCGACTGTTGTTTCAATTTAGTTTGACAATTCTTGTCACAATAAACTCAGAACGCAAAACATAATCAAACCCGAATTCTCGTAAGTATTCTAGGCATCCCAACAGAAATCGAGTTGTTCATTTTTTCAGGTTCAGTCAATTCGTGGTATTATCATACAATGATTGTTCTGTTTTAAAGGAAAATTAAGATTCTACGATACAATACAACATGCGTCAACCAAATCACTCTTGATGGAGATACCTTGGAGGACGTTAACACCTTTACATATCTTCGCAGCATCATCGACAATCAAGGTGGATCCGATGCAGATGTGAGGGCACGAATCGGCAAAGCAAGGGCTACATTTCTACAGTTGAAAAATATCTGGAAATCCAAACAAATATCAATCAACACCAAAATCAGGATCTTCCATACAAATGTCAAGACAGTTCTGCTGTATAGAGCGGAAACTTGGCGAACTACGAAAGCCATCATCCAGAAGATACAAGTGTTTATTAACAGTTGTCTACGCAAAATACTTCGTATTCGTTGGCCAGACACCATCAGCAACAACCTATGGTGGGAGAGAACAAACGAGATTCCAGTGGAGGAGGAAATCAGGAAGAAGCGGTGGAGGTGGATAGGACACACACTACGAAAAGCACCTAACTGCGTCACGAGACAAGCCCCCACATGGAACCCTCAAGGCGAAACGAAAAGAGGAAGTCCAAGGAACACATTATTCCGAGAAATAGAGAAAGATATGAGAGGAATGAACAAAAATTGGACAGAACTGGAAAATGAAGCCCAGGACAGAGATGGTTGGAGAAAACTGGTGGGCAGACTATGCTCCATTGGGGGTAGTAGGCGTAAGTAAGTAAAGTAAGTAAGTAAGATTGTTTTGTTTAATGAATAAATTCTTAACTTGTGATCCAGTCATTCTCATTTATCACTGTAATCAGTCTAAAAATCAGTCAGCTATCAACACATAATAATTGTTTACCTTAATAACCATAAAATGCAGGTCGATATCTGCATAAACTTACTGAATTTAATATTTCTAATGTTGGATTAATTGCCTATGAAACAACTTCTGTCAAACAATCATTTACTTCAAACTATCTCTTTATTCATCACATATATTTTTTTAAAAATTCATTTTGTAATAATTTAGAAAAGTTAACATTTTAACAGAAATTAAAACGTTTTTCCTTCATTACCTGCATAAAATTGTAGTGATACAAAGCTGAGCATAATTGCATCTGTGAACGATTGCTAAGATTACTGAAATCCGAATTCCCTTCTTCAATATTATTCACATCATTCATGGTAGCATTGAATGTCTTCTGTTTCTTTAGTCGTTCCATAATTTGATTTTGTCCAAATATAACAAACGGTAAAATACCTGGTGCCCAATGTTTCCTAATTGGATTTTTATAAAATCATCAATAACAATGAAAATTTGCCTCTTAATACAAATTTAAAATAATACAGTAATGAAGTAAGGAAATTTTTTATTGTTCAACCTAGTGTATAACACAACCAGATATCGTCTCAATTGAAACCAGAATTATTTACTGTACTATTATGCCTCATCGAAAATAACAGCGAAAATGTATTGTATCACTTCTAATGAATGTTACTTTATTTTTTTTTTTATATTCTGCTTTTGCATAGATGATTTAATTTCACTTACTAGGCAAAAATATGTAATGTAAACTCATCATTCTTAATATGTACATTAAAATAATCTTTTTTTAAAAACATGCTTTCTAGTTTATTAATTATGAAGATGGTGTTCTGTATGTAGGTGAGTTTAATCCTTTTTTAATAAATTCTTAATTTTTTACACTTTCTGTGTGTGTGTGTGTGTGTGTCTATAACCATTAGTATATTAGATGTGTTTTTGCTTTCTTGTTTGGTTTCATAGAAAAAAACAAAAACAGCATGATCTTCTTCGATTAATTAACTTTATGCAATTTGAACGATTTTCTTGCGCCTCATCGAAACAAGTGACTTAAAGCAAATAAACACAATTTAAATAATTACAATAATATATACATATATAGTTGAGAAAACAAGTTTTCTCCTTTAGAAATTCCATAGAGTAGTGTAGTGTAAACAATTTCACTTTGTTTGTTTTTAATACTTCACTTGTTGAAAAAGCCATGCTGTGTGTGTTGATACTTTATTACAAGAAAACAAATGGCGTAGTGTAAGAATAAATACGTCCAATAGAAATAGAAAATGCACCACCTTCCAGGGAAAAAAAACATTGGATTGTTTATTGCTTGCTTTATTAGGTGGCGTATTCTTGAGTGTATACTATTCAAATCCTAAATGAAAATTATCCATTTTCTAGGAGAAAATACTAATTTTTATTCTTCATTTTATTACATAGAGATGATAAAATCTCTCAAACACATAAATCAGTACATCGAATTCAAAAATCTAATCAGTAAGTTTCAAAATATAGGTGTATTCTCAGTATAAATTGTCAAACTTTAGTTTTTGTTTAAAAATGACAAGAAATAAAAACGTTTGTATACAATTACCTAGATTATATTATTTTACAGATACACTGTTCTTTTTTCTCCATGGTTGTACATATTATATTTTTAGCAATAATAACCCTGAAATCTTGGTATATTTCATTCGCATTGGTTGTTTAAATCTTCTCACTGATGTTTAGGACAACGATCGATCAGAATCTTTGGTATATGTGCATTCTCAGCGGTCTTTCGAAATAGGGACTATAAGCGCCTAGCATTATTAACAGAGGTGGATAGTGGCTAGCGATGGAGTCTAGAACGCACCGTTCGTCCTAATCGGGACTCGTTAGCTAGATTTACTTACATCTCAGAATTGATGTTCACTCGCTTGAAACGTCATTGAGTAACCCACTTAGCTATTGAGTTCAGATAGCCACTACCTTATGCAATGAAGTGAAAATTAATTCCGTTAATTAAGTCCCTGAGCGAACATTAAATCTGAGATGTGTGTACATCCAGCTGTCAAGTTCCATTTTGGACGAAACGTACGTCTTAGATTCCATTGTTGGCTTCTGTCCATCCCCTCCAATAATGCTTGGCATATTTATTTATGCACGTTAACATGAAACATAAAATATGTTTAACTACACTGAATTTTTAAATCACTGAAACACACTCAGAGAAAGTTTGATTTATTCCCTGAGAAGAAGAGGAAAGATGGTTGTAACTTTGTTTGCTTTACACAATTTGAATTGTCTATTTTTTAGTATACATGTTAAAATAGGAGTTAATTGTTTGCACTGGGATTGCTTACGCGGAGGAAAGTTAGTAAATAACATACTATTTACTAGATTGGACAATTATCCACAGTATCTACATACACTCTCAACGTACAGATATTTTATTGATAAATGTAATTTTACTTCGCACAGAAGTTGTTTTCTATATACGCAACAGGCAAGCTTATTAGTAATGATGAAATAATCAAATGATGAGATTTCTAGTCAACAATTCGACAACAGAAATAAACAAATTTTGAAAACCGTACACAGTATTAAAACTACGTAATCAGAAATTTTTAGACAATCAGATCGTGAAATATATAAAGAAGATGAGGTGAATCACAAAAAAATTAGGGGACATGCAGAAATCAGCAAAATAGTTTATTAATTCATATCCGGCTAATAAAGGGAAAAGTAGTCACAAATTTCTGCTGAACACATTACCTAAGGTTATAGGTTCGGACCCCAGTAGCTTCCGCTACTTGTAAGAGACCGGATCGAACCCTCTAGAGAAACGACAAAAGTATATGATAGATCACTTGAGACAATTTAGTTTTATCTACTATATGACTACTCATTGAAATTACGAATCGATCATTGTTAGACCATCATCAGAAACCTGGAAGCACTGGATAGCCGTTTCGTCCTGGTACGGAGCTCATCAGCAGTGTTCATTCACGACACCTGCACCTCTCAGGGTCCGAACCCAGGACCTTCGGTCTTGCGTGCGAACGCCGGTATTTAACGGTGGTAATGTCTGACTTTGATCAATTCACGATCCTGATCAACCTCATGCACTGTCTTCGGTAGTTACTGTCTACACCCAGACAGGCTGAACTTCACTGGTAACAACTTCTCACTAGGACTCGGAGAATCATGACTATAGTCAATCATGCATGTCAAGATGGAGGAGCGAATTGTCTTCGTCTTGTCATTTTCAAACCAAGCTGACAGATGTCTATTCATTCACTGAATAAACTGCTATATAGAACGATCAATACAACCATCTCCACAAGAGCAGCTAAATTCATAGATGCGAACAGAACTTATCCTTTGTTTCAGTAAACATTACTAGTCTACATAAAAGTTTCAAACTAAGGTTAACTACATAAAATTCACCATTAACTGATCAAATCTATTTCGTTGTGATGATTAACTTTCAAATTAACTTGAATGGTTTAACATTTGCATATAAATACGCCAAGTCGAATGACGATTGATTTGAAAATGATGCAGTATGATTAAATATGTTGTTCTAATTAATTAAACATATTGAAAATCTTACAGACTGAATAAATGATAAAATCATAAACTTAAAGTCAACTCTATGTGTTGTCTCAGCAATTTCCAACAAAAGATGTTTCGGATACGCTAGCCGAGTGACACATTGATGATTTGATTCGTATCGACAAAATGTTACATTTATTTAAGTTTATTTATACTTGAATAGGAAACAATTAATAAAGGAAAGCGAACATTCACTTAATTCGCTTATTTTCATTCTGCAAAAAAATACATACTACTCACCCAAGTATACCTACTGCTTTTAATCCTAAAAAGCAAAGGGATTCCCATTTAGATGCACGACATATTATCTCTAATGTTTTCAATATAAAACAATGTAACCAGTTCCAGTCTATGTTGAATTGATTGTTGATCATTTCCGGTCGCCAAAACTTTCCCGGTTGCTCATTGAGATAGTCGGTCTAAAAAAAGATTTTGGTTTTATTTTCTTTTAGAATCAATATTTACATCTATTTCAAATAAATTTTCAATTAGTTAACTTTATAATTTGTTAAATTAGTACATATAACTCTTGCAAAAAAAATTGATCACGTTGAAATGCAACAGATGTTAATATATATATATATATATATATATATATATATATATATATATTTAAATGACATATGAAAGAAAACTGCTTTTTAGGCCACCTGCCTTTCATCGGTTTAACTTAGTTGCCTTTAAAAAATCAGTGAATTAATCCCCCTTTCACTTTTACCCAGTGAAAATTAGAAATCTAACTGACAGTATTTTATTAGTAATTTTGCATTGTGTTTTTTAAAATAATTAATAAAAAGAGAGGTACATAAAATAAAATGTTTAATGTGATTTCAAATCAATTACTGAAAACACGCAAAAAAGGCTGCGTTATTTGAGATGATTATATGCCTTTCTCCTTCTAAATTTATCTCACTGAATTATACTTCTCGAATTATATCTTCACTCCTTACTGCTAATACTTCTACTATCTCTATCACTCTTGGATTTGAACTGACAGTTGCGTCTCTGTACTGATGTGGTATGGCAACCTGAACTGATGTACTTACGTACGAAGTTCTGCGTTGTATCTGTCTGTCTGCCTGTCTGATACTCTATGTGAAATATGACGTTTTATTTCGACCTCATAAGACATTTGACAGTTCTGTCCAATCAATATCGATTTGCGTAGAAGCTTAGTAACTAAGTACTACAATCAGTAGTTGTTGTGATGATTTTATAGTCATTACATATAAGGTAACCACCATGGTAATCAACAAAATCAATAAGAAATAAACTGAAATTCGTAGTGAGTACTGCAATGTCACGCATACAAGTGTTATTCCAGCTTTCAGATAGACCAGATAATTTATTCTTCTCTAGTTATTAGCCTTACCTGTTTCGATTTTGTTAATCGTTCCTATATTATAAGCCTTGACTGTTTTTATACGAGTCCATGTATGTATCAGTTATTGCAATAATCAAATGTCTTGCTATCAGTAATGAGTCACGGTTTTTCAAATGGGGTTTAGTACACTTTCCATCTCCGCTCCACTTTGTTTTGCTACTTCTCATTTTTTTTAATTTCTGTCTGAATTAAGGATTGCATGAATTAAACTCATCTGACTGAGTCCGTATTTCCTCTCTTATCACCTCAATCAAACAAACAAGGTTAGCCTAAGTATTATAATGCATGGGATTAAGCAGAAAATTTATTTTCATGGCATACTATATCCTTTATCTAAATAAAAAGTTCGATAATCAATCACTTAAGTTCATATTTGTTTAGTTTATGTAAACAGGTAATTTTACTTTGGAAGATACATGAATTGAAGTTATAACACTGGAAAGAAATGGACTATTTTTTTTGATGAATCTTCGTAAAGCTTGACGTAAATATCACTGTTTAATCAAACAATTGAATATTATTAGCAAATACTTACTCAAACTCTGGTTGAGTAAAATGTTAATATTGTATTTAGCAATTTCAATTCATATCAACATGAGAACTGATATTCTTTTAACAAGGAAATCTCAGAACTTACATCATGTTCATATTTTCTTACTGCAATCTCATCTTGATTTAATGAGGCTTCAAATAAATCTAAAATATTGTCAGCAGACATAAACCAACAAGTCCATGCTATTTTGGCCAATGCTCTACGATTTGTATATTGTTTCAAATAATGTAGAATTTCTAAAACTGAAGCATTACACTTTTGTGCTTGTATTGAATATTTTTCTCCTTCTGTATTTACTGCTTTACGTGAACTCTTACTAGATATTTTCATGTTTACTTCAACCTTTACTTCTGCTTCTCTATGTATGCTTGCTTTATTGCACCATACTGACAGTCTACTCAATAACAAACTGCATAATAATGTTGCATTCCAACAAATTTTCGCAGCATCATAAATCTTTGGCCAACATTTAGCTCGATATGCAAGATTTGTGGATCGTTTTATAAAATCGAAAATAGCTTTAATGTTATTCGGTAGTGTTAGTACTAATCGTGTGTCAATAAAATCTGAAAGTGATCAAGTAAACAATAGTTTGATGTAGTAAATCACTTATTAGGTATTTCAAATAATTATAGCTTCAGTAAGATATTAAAGTTTATATATATATATATATATATATATATATATATATATATATATATATATATATATATATATACAAGCGAAGTCCTTCAAATTAATAATCTATTCGTCAAATCTTTACTGTTTGACGAATTAAAATTTACAGTTGTTTTTAAATTTGATTTTTATGTCTGACAGTAAGTAAAAGTACATTTATTTCCTTTGTGTAAAAATATTGCTGTAGTATAATAACACTACCACTACATAGGTAAAATACACAACTAAAACAGGATGATTAAACTCGTTTAATCACATGAGCCCCATATTCAGTAGCGTAGAGTCCTCTTCTAGTCAAGTTGATATTAGATAGTTAGTGGTAGTCAACAGAAAGCCTTAAACCTATATTTCATGCTTACAAGTGTCCGTAATCCAGGCATACCTCCAGTCCTTATAGAACAAATACGATTTTTATTTATTTTACCACAACATACATTGTGTTAATCTACAGTTAGGTGTCTTGAATAAATCACCGGTGATAAATTTAACTGCTACACAGTACAATACCAGTTCAACGCTCTGAGAAAGCATCATGTTTTTTCCTGAAAGTGAAGACATAATTTCTTGACGAATACTATTCAGGATTAAGTATTCCTTTCTACTCATGTCAACAATCCAGCACCAATATCAAGACCTCATTACGAATTTTCAAATAACGTGTTCTACCATGTTCTTTTATTTTATATACCCAATTAATAAACCGTTTAACATCATTTTCCTTTCTTACCCTTTGTTATAATTCTCAGTTTCACTGTCTAACTTCTTCGCAGATCAAGTTTTTCTCTGACTAATTAATGAACCTGCACTATTTAAATTTTGCTTTTATAAAGAAAAACGTCACAGTTTATAGGTAGCTTATCAAGTTAAACAAAGTCACCTATAAAATAAACTGCTCCATTTTTTATTTCCATTTCACCAATGTATGAGGAATCGGTTACTTGACGGTTTATGACATGCATGAAAGTCATTGTTTCCCTATTTAACATAAAAAATTAATCAGCTGTCAAATTTACCTAATTTAGACTTTGTGTGTTAGTTTATTTACTGGACAAAGTCATTGTGTCATGATATTGGAAGTTATGATAAATGATATGAAAGGTCTTTTTATGAAAGTGATTTTTAGGAATACATTTGAAATGACATGAGAAAATTGTTTCAATGGACTCATTCTTTCACTCATTGGGATCTTTTGCTTTAAAAACTTTAAAATGAGATGTAATCATGTTCACAGTTTGTATCTCCGAATACACTGAATTACAAAGTGTTTATTGATGATAAGTTTATAACATGTCAGCTTACAACATATCCGCAGTTTAATGAAACTGATCACCCGGTTACACCTATCTTCAACATATCCTTTTGATTCAGTGTGCACTAACTGAAGTTATTTGACGAATTTAAGTAAGTCTCTGAAAATCTGAGTCTTTGTTTTGTTTAAAAATATCACTGAATCGGAAATACAGATTAAGCAGTTAGTGTATTATTAAAACGGTGCAATCCGTTTTTTACTGACCGGAGGAGTTTTAGTTAAAGGATCACATGACTGAAATTGGACTAATATTCATTTGCAGTTGAATTATTTTCAGTCAGTTAACGAGGCGTTCAGGAAAACAGTAACTTACTCTCAAAAGAGACTCATTTTTACCTCTGAATTAATTGAACATGTTTGTATCTGATTAAGTCTCTCACATAAAGTAACCATACATACACTAACCATATAAGTCATATCTGTTTCTTTCCGAGTGAATAAAACCAGTTAATCCCTCATTTTTTTTCGACCAAAATTTAACCATTTGTAGCTGAATTATTTAATATTTCAGTTACCTTCGTTTATTTTTTCTCCATTTTCCATTGCTGCCAACTGATTTTTACTGTGTTTCTCATAATTATTTATATCACATAGATGTTCTTGAACAAATGAATCCAAATAGTCGCATATAGCATTGGATGTTTTATAAGCTATTTAAAAAAATAGAAAGGTATTGCATTAATTATGCTTATACATTGTCAATAAGGAAAACAAATATTTAGTCGTTGAAATTATTTAAAATAATGTGATCAGGTGAGGAAATTAATTAGGACCAATTTATTATATTTGTGAAATACATCTATAAAACTCTGATGATATTCTTAAAAAATCAAGTGATTATAAAAGTATTTCAATAATATACATGATGACGGCAAAATTCACTCAACATTATATTGTAGTAAAACATATATGATAAGTGTGAGTTATCATAAGCCTTTTTGACTATAGCATTCATTAGGAAATGTGTAATTTTTTTAAGCTAAAACGTTCCGAACAGTTGTTTGTTTCAAATTATAACCTAAGAAGCTGCCAATATTTTAGTCACACTTAGAAAAGAACTATTCATGTCTTATAAAGCAGATGAACAAATAAGTAACATAGAAATTTAACGAAGTATTCGTTCGATCGAGGAGTTGAAAATCTTTTATTAATACAGTATAGATTGGTTCGATAATATGATTACGATTTACGACTTTGAACATCTCCAATCAAAGTTGATGTAGTCCATCTGCTGAACAGTAACATAAAAGGAGTAATTATTCGAAAGCATATTCGTGTTGGCTAGTTTGCTTTGGAACGATCCAATTTCAGAAATGTTTTCAAAATTCAGTGATAATCCATTCCCTGCGTATTTGATAATCATTGATGAACTTACGTCTTGTATTATTTGCATAGGTTACAAGAACTTTATTCTTTGGGTTTATGGCCTTCATGTTTACTTTCTTCATCAAATACAATCCCTTAATCTTCCACTTTCTTCTCTTTTGATTCAGTCTGACAAACAGCAGATCAACAATGTTTGTTTCAGAGGAGGGATTACATAATGACATGTATTCTCAATAATTTTTCCAACCACAAAATAAAGACCATATATTTTCTTTCTTTGTTACGCCTTAAATAAAGCCTCATTTATATTCAATACCTATTGTTTATTTATGTCAGCGGTAAACAAAAATAAACAAACAGTCAATCGATGTAATCCCAAATTCTGGTTTTCAAGTAGATTGTATCTATGTCATTCACTTTTCTGCTTTGTTGTCCACCACATGTGATCAAAAGTTATATTACTGTTATAACAGTTTTAATGACTGCGTTAGATTCGACGTAAGGCTCACCACTTTATTGATTCGGATTTGACTTCATTTTGAAAAAATAATCGAGTATGCTTAGAAATACGTCTTCCCTTTAATTTCTGAAAATCATGTTTATGCGAACGCCTTTTGTAAGAAGCCAAATACGAATTCCGCTAGATAATTTTACTTCATGCGATCGTTCGTGCAGACAGACATGAGAAAACAAAGCTTAAAAGCAAAGCGAAGATAAGCAGAGAAGGCGAGCGAGCCATCTTGATGCAATGAGGCATGACTAAATATTTATAGTTAGACAAAAATAAGCTAGACATGTGAAATAAGCATGCACATACACGCTCAAATGTAAACAAAGCAACTAAATTAAAAGCAAATAATTGTAAGGTCGAAAGATGTGTGAGTAAATTAAGTAGAATGGATTAGTTAATTTCTTCAAAGGCTAGGGCAAGCCCTGTGGGGTCAGCATATTAGTAAACACACTACAAATTCTTTTGTTCAAATCTGCACAAGGTGGGTTTATTGACCTGGATTTTTATGCAATGAAGTTGTTGGATTTATATTCCGCTACACCGCAAGTACAACCTTACAGAAGCGTATTTGTTAGTTGGCGGAAATCTATTTGTGATAATTATCATAGAAGGAACGGTTATTATTATTATTTTGTTACTTAAAGCACCATTTTCATTTGAGTTCTATTTTTCTGTATCTCTATTGTGAGTGTGAAGCTGTTTCGATTTAGTATATTGGTTTTGTTTTTGGCATCCTATTATTTGCGTTGCATGTCATTGCACGTTGTTGCATGTTCATCAAGCTTATGTACAGGTCCACTACAATTGTAAGGTAATTCACGTATTTCAAACATTTGATAGAAATACTTTATGGGAGTCAGTTTGATCTAATGTGTTTCTAATGGGTGAAAAAAAACTATATTCACCAGGTCTCCTCCACTTTTAGACTTACATCAATTAGATGGCGAAAAAATTTAACCTAGGAAAACCAACTAACAATTTTTAATCACAGTTATCATTTATGATTAGAAGTAGTCTCTAAAAAAACCAAAAGACCCTATGAACCAACATATGGCTACGGATATCGGGGTCACGTTGTGGTGGAACACTTCTACGAAGAAAATGCGATTGGTGAGAAATAAACATTTATTATTGTACTCGTTTTGTTTAACTGTACTAAAAACATTTACTTGCGTGCAACGTTCTTTTTCTCTTTTCTGCCATCTATCATAATTTACTGCTCGATGTAACGCCTCATTTCTCCTTCAAATATATTCTTAACTCAGGATTTATTTCTAAAACTGGTGACAGGATAGTAATTAGCATTTACTGATGATCATAGTCAATCTCGACTTCGTCACCACTAATACGTAAGTTGATGGAAATGAAGAGTTGTAACATAACAGTATATTGCATGGTTGCAGCAGGAAATTAATCCGAAAGCTAAGAAGTTTGAACGTTTCAATGTCACTACGTTATGGCTACATGGGTTAACGGACAGTTTGAAAAACCATGATTATTCAAATCAACAATACTCGACATGCAGTAATGATTCCATTTATTTAACAGAGCCTGACCAGTCGAAAGTATACAGCTCAATATCCTTGTCGTTTCTTAGTACTCCTCAACTCACACAAAATGTTCAAGTTTGACGGTTTCATGTTTCGTTCAAACTACTGCTATTCCCCTTATCAGTGATTATATAAGTCTGTGTAGAATATCCGGATAAACTTGAAATGAAATGCTGATATTTTAAATATCTTAGGTATTTATCGTTATTCACTCAGTCATGCAAAACTTTCAGCCTTATGCACATACTACCTGAGTAAAATGACATTACGTACATAAATCTCTGAATGATAAAAGTAGCATCAGTACAGATAGAAGCAAAGAAGATAAGATGCAAAAAACTTGATTTGCAAAGAAAAATAAATCCATGGCATTAAGAGAGAAAAAGATAACTGAAAAGACCAGGATTCATATTGGGACTTAGATCGTATCTATATTTGTCCAATCTACCAATTACAGCCTTTGTACGACATTTCGAACCATTGGTTATGGGCACCGTGCCAAAATCAACAAGTAAACTCTAGCCTATCAAGAAGATTGAATGGAACCGTTGATATCACTTCCTCGCTAACTATCATTCTTCTATCATACACCTACACACGAGGACATTATTTCCATACAGATGGCATGAATTAGCTTCATAATGTGTATTGTAGTGAAATTTCGGTAATTATGTATTTGCCTAGTTTTTATAAACTATGGTAAACTGGGAATGTTTTGTCTGGTTATTTCAGTCTGTAGTTCACTTGTGAGCTGCATTCAAATTCATTATTCGTAGACTAGCACTATAATTCAGACATCGGTCACAATATGTGTTTGCCTTCTATTGTTGGTAAACCATACTTTTAGTCCAACTTTAGCAGACTGAAATATTTGCCTTTACGGAATATCGTACCGAAATAGAACTTAAGTGAACATGAGTCTTCCAACAGGTTTAGCAAACAGTTTAGCACACATATGAAGGCTAATGTTATCAGTATTGATTAACCTTTTAGCAGTATTCACCTGGTGACCGAATTCTGATCAATACTTTAGTGAAAACTATTGTCAAAAGCCCGTGACCCTTGAATGCCTTCGCTTGATAAACAATGTTTCCGAAGTGCAGTATAGAACTTAGCAGGAAATTAAACAGTAGACCCTCTTCTTATAGTAGGAAACAAACATTACTCATTCAAAACCAACAATTCAGGGTAGCAAAAGTCGATGCAGATTTCGTTAAGGAGCTACCCACCAAGGCTGATAAGATATACGAGATGCGTGAAGTAGTCAATTAGACCAGTTATCAGTACCCTTACCAATTATAAGGCCATCAGCCTACACCATTAGAGAAGGTTTGAATTTTGAGGATGATGGATGTACTTTAAACACTTTCCTATTGTTATTCAAGTTAAATGTTTGATCAGTATATGTACATCAATGTTCAGCCATGTGTGAGGGTACGTTGTTTTAAACAAGAGTGCGGTTTCATAAAGCTAATTTTTTGGATGCTACAATAGAATAACTGATTCGCCTGCAATTTTAATTCCTTCTCATAGGGCGAAAAAATCTGTAATCGCTGCTACTTAAACGGGATTCCGTTTTTTTTTATCAGGCAGTTTGACTTATAAAAATGGGATAGTGTGTTCGAAAAATCAAAGTCAAGATTTCATCATGCCTAGCTGCTCTCCTTTGTTTTGGCGCAGATTTGTTCCTCTCCTGATTGTATCGCTTACATTGACTGGAATTGTGCATTTCGATTGTGAATTGACTTACTCTTCCAGATTAGGAAACACTCTGTGTTATAAGTAAATATTATTATATTATAATATTATCTTTCGAACGAATCTGATCTATCCAGAAAGGATAGAATAAAATATATTTGTTGCTGTAGAACTGAGTAATTGAACAGTTGTCGGTGGAATAAGTGAATGGTAATATTTGTTTTGGTGATGATGTACATTTATATTTATGATGAATAATAGAACCGTCATTTAACCAATCACTTGTTTTGGTTTCACCTGTGCAAAGCGCGATTTGAAACTGCCTCAGTCGAAAACTCAGTTTGGATCCTACGAGCGTCCTTCGACGACTGACTGCAGCCCCTCGTAGAATTGGTCTTTAACGTCTTACTGTAGTCGTTGGTAGGTGCATAGTGTCGGATGACTTTCAGTTTAATGTTCTCTTTTGATTGTTCTGATCATAATCACAATCAGATGGTCAATAAAGTCAAACGCACTTCATCGTGAAGCAGTTACAAATAGACGGTGATCTTACGATGATGTGCAGTACTTAAGAGATTCTTCGGAGAAGCTCAACAAGGATGTTCGCACCCTTTTCCCCTAACTGAGAACAAGTGTGGGAGAAGGGCATTTAAAACTGATAAGACGAATTCTTGATCTCGGAGGCTCTGAAGGGTTTATCTCAGCCCTCCACAAGTCTAGAAGACTGTATGAATAGAAGCCAGAAAGGAGTCGACGAATGCCCAAAACGCCTATACTAGCACATGAACCAACGAACTAAGAGAAGATGTAACCCACCAGCATCATGGGGAGACAGTTTTACTACATCACTGATGAAAGATGACTTCAGTGAAGCTGTTGCATTTCCGAACCATTTGAGCGGTGTGTATATCGTATAGGTGTCCTCTCTCGAGTTCACACGAGCCCCTTCATACAGACTCGGAACACTATGGCCGTCAAGATATCAATGTCTTCCATCTGTTGGATAAGCTTGTTTCAGGTAAATCTGTGTGGAGCCGAAGAAATTTATTATAGATTACTCAACGAACTAGAAAATCTCATTGAAAACCCCTTAAGCGAATGTTTTGTTCCACCTTTAAACCATAGAGTATTACCTGATAGATGTAGGAACTCCGTAGTAAGTCCTTTCTCCAAAACCGACACGAAACATAAACCTGAGAACAATCTACCCATAAGCGCATCTAGCGCGTTTGTGGAAATTTTAGAAAAGATTATTCGTAAACAGCTGTTTAAGTGGCTAGGAGAAAACTGTTTCCTTCTTGAGAAGTAAAATAGCCTTATAAAGCTATTCATGTCTGGAAAACATTTT